CAATGCGGATATTACAGAGTCATATGGAACCTTCTGTTTATTATTAGTCCTCACAATACCCTGAACCACCTTATCCTAAACTACTTCGTCCCAAACCACCTAACCTGAAAACACCTAGTCTGGAATCTGTCTCTGAAGTAACACTCCCTCGAGAAAGTGGTATGCAGGAACCAACTGGAACACTAGATCCTTCAGCATTGCAAGAGTCCTTTTGGCGATCTGGAAGGACGTGCAGTACCTCTACGCACCTTCGAGACTATGCTAGACGGAGTGAATGTAGTAAAATGTTGTATCTATGGTATCTGGCTGGAATTATGGATTTACCTGCTGGGTGCTCGCTTGACTGTTATTGTTTGGTGAGCGACAGATCAGCTGTGGCTCACGTGTATACAGGTCGGTGTAATGTACTCCCTTATTTTCTGTTTGTTTTAGCTTTAGTTGATATGCAGTTTGCTTATCGTTATAGTGAATAGAAAGTACTTAAACTGAATATATGTATTGCATACTATATGGCTTGGTATTATTGCAGGATGGAACTACTGTAATTATTTTATCATTAAAGCCACAAGTCTGGCAAAGCGTTTGATTACCTTAGTTTCATTTAGGGAAAAGTCAGCTATTGTTCTAGGCCCTATAGGCAGTGGTTCCAAAAGTTTCATGTCTATCCTCATTTTTCTACCACGTTCTCACCTGTGGACTCCCCAAGACCACTTTTGTTTGCTAGGGCTCCAGGGTTGTTTGTTTCCTAGGACTTCCGGGTTGTTTATTTGCACAATTTTTCTGCACGATTTTTACTTAGGCTTTGTAGTGCTGGTTTTGAATAAGTGCAGATCACTGCACCGGTAGTGTTTCGTTCAAGGAATCTTAACGCCATAACATTGGCAGTTAGCTCTGCTTGCGTTGAAGAGGCAGTGTTCTCAGTGCGTGTTTTTTCATCATTTCCGTGTTGAAAGGCATTATTCCTAATTACAGTGTATGCTGTACCAACACCACTATCTTAATTGCTGCACCAGCCCTGCCATTGACAGGATTAGATGACCCATCAATGTAGAATGGATATAATTCATCTCAGGCTTCTTTATAAATTTCCTCAAGATATCTGAGCCTCATGTCTTGTGGTATCATGTTGGACTTTTTCGTTGTCATTTCATTGATGATAATCAGGCATGGGCCATCCTCCCAAGGAGATAACCTCCCTACAAGCATGAGCTCACGGGCTTGCTCAAACAAGTGAAGTTCTGCGAGGTACAAACAGGTGAAGTTCTTCGAGGTAGTAGACTGATCTGTGATGCCATTTTTTTACGTGTCCTGTTTCCTCGTGAACTTTCCAGCACAGAACTCAGTTTTTCTTGGCAATATCATTGTAATGGGATCTCTGGTTATCTTAGTTGCAAGCTTAGCACTAAGTTCCTTAATTCTGCTTTTAACACTAGAGAGGGACAACTCATCTCGTAGATTAGATGTTTTAGCAATTCTTGGGACTTCAAGAAAGATTGTCATGGCTTCATTTTGTATGTTTTCAAGCCTTTTCATATCGCTTTCGGACTAGGTGCATTAAAAACTGGTGCGGCACAGTCTATGAAAGAGCGCACATAGGCTGTGTACATCAATTTAAGCACGGCAATAGAGGCTCGATGCCTATTCAAGGTCACAGCTTTCAATGCACTGAGTCGACTTTTGCATGTTCCTATGAGTTGGTTGAGCTCCTCTTTCTTCCCCTTGTTAAGAGCCGACAATGACGCCAAGGTACCCATAGTGGTCAACCCATTCACGTGTTACACCATTAATTTGTAGATCCTCAGTTTCTCCCCGCTTGTGATGAGAGTATGCATTTCTTGTTTATGGAGAGAGTGAAACCGAGCTTAACACATTTCCTTCCAGGGAGTTCAATGGACTATAATTTTTTCCAAGGTTGGGGCTTGCATTGGAACATAATCTGCATACCCCACTTGTTGTGCTCTTTCCGGAAAGTAAATATTTGCAATGTATGTTGAATAGTGCGGGCTTAAGACTTCTCCTTGGGGGGGGGGCCGAGTTTCATATTCATTGTTCTTAAGGCTGCTCCGCTGAAGCAGACCTTGGCTTTCCTCCCTGTGAGGTGGTCTTCAATCCATTTCATGTCTCCCCTTGACACCCATGCATGCAAGCTCGTCCAGGATCGCAATCTATCGTGCTTTGTCGAAGGCTCCTTTGATGTCAACAAATACAGAGTACTTAGCTGTGTCATTAGCCAAGTATTTAACTATACAATTTGCTCCTAACAATTTTGCCTTTAACAAATCCATTGACCCCGTCCCCTAGCCTGCCTATTTTGTGCAACAGTCGGTTTAGAGAGATCCTTTCAAGCATCTTGCATGTGCATGATATGAGACTGACAGGTCTGTAATTGCCAAGGTCATTGGGTTTCGGTATGGTAAAAAAAATTGTTTAACATTGCGCGGGCAATTCTCCACTTAGGAATGATTAAATAAAATAAATAATAAATAAAAAAAAATTTATTCAGGAAAAGTACATTCATAGTTGATTTACAAACATAATGTTGGATTTATAGATAGAGCTAGTACATACAATACCTAAAGCCACTAATACGCATAGCGTTTCGGGCAAACTCACTATGTTAAACGGGTGAAGTAGTGGATTCCCAGACATCTCACACAGTGCATTGAGTATGTCGTAGGTGACTCCATCTTCACCAGGTGCAGTACTTTTACTCTTTTTCATAGCCTCCCCTTACTTCCTGGACTGTTGTCCAGGAAGTAAGAAGGCTCCTTACTTCTTCCTACATGACAACGACCCTACTCGTCGTCACTAAACTGTGCTCTTGTTATCCTAATTCTTTTGCCATTATATCGCAGGAGCCGGGGCATGTGTGTGTCACTGAGCGCCCACCCTGCGGTGTGTTTATCTCATTTATTATGCACCCCATACCCATCTTGTGGGCGGTAGTGGAAAGGGTTACAGAGGCACATAATGGGCTCAGGGATGTGTTTATCTCCCATACGATTCAGCAATATGTTTTTTTCGCCGTCTTGCGGTGGACAGTTTCACCTCCTGGCTTCGGAGTTTTTTTTTCTGCAGACGGGAACGTCGGGGTTCATACGGTCCTGCGCTGTAGCAGGGATGCCAGATTGGGCCACAAGTAGCGAATTGGGCTACTTTTCAGAACCACGCGCTCCCAAATATTTAATTTCGCTACTTGCGACTTTTTGGGCTACTTTAAAAACAAGTTGGGCTATTATTGTTAAGAAACTCAATGATGATTTTTATGCTTTTCATAATGTCATGTGTACAAATCATAGCCGTGTCCAATAGCTTGATTGAATAGACCACTTACCGCAGGAGGCCAGTCAGAGACCGACCCCCTGGGGACGTTGATCCTAGGAACTTCCCAAAGAAAAAGTAACCGCAAGGCAAGATAATCCTCCCCAGGGGCTATAGATTTCCCAACCTTAATTGCCATTAATACTTCATCCCGGGTACTGTCTATGTTAATTAAGTGATCTCCTACTGTTGCCTACTGTAAATATTAGGTTTCTCTCTAGGTGTTTCCAAGAATCAAATGACTGTCGTTAGAGCGGATTAGCATACAGTGAACTTAGCAGCGTCATCTGTGCTTTCATTTACGGGCTATTCATGCCCGTGCCACCTCTTGGGTGGCTTAATCTTCATCAATCTGTGCTTTCATTGTTAGTGTGGCCCTGACCTCCAGAAGGATAGTTCGACACAAGTTACCGCATATAGAAAAGAAGTTACCGCTGTTACTTTTAGAATTTGCTTAAGTGTTAAGATAAAGAAGTGTAAAATGGGGAAGTGGTCTAAATACTAGGAAACGTTTCGGATGTCCTGGCTTAAGGATCCCGTGTTTGAAAAGTGGTTGGCTGAAGTCTCCGTGGTGTAGTGGTAAGTCTCCGTTACAGTCTCCGCGGTGTAGTGGTAAGTCTCCGTTACAGTCTCCGTGGTGTAGTGGTAAGACACTCGCCTGGCGTTCCGTGAGCGCTTTGTCATGGGTTCGTATCCTGGCCGGGGTGGATTTACTGGGCGCAAATCCTTAACTGTAGCCTCTGTTTAACGCAACAGTAAAATGTGTACTTGGTTGTAACAACGATTCATCGCGGCGGGGATCGTATTCCAGGGACCTGCCCGAAACGCTACGCGTACTAGTGGCTGTACAAGAATGTAACAACTCTTGTATATATCTCAAAAAAAGTGAAAGAAGATGGAAATATGGCATATTGTAAAGTTTGTAGAACTGAGATAAGAGCTCATAGAAGTGGTTTAAAGAAACACAGTGAAACATTAAAACACAGACAAAATATATCGGAGGTAAGTCATCAGCAGATGAACAGTCTGTTCTATCAAAGAAGTTTTTTTTTAGTTTAATTCATTTATTATGCACCCCATACCCATCTTGTGGGCGGTAGTGGAAAGGGTTACAGAGGCACATAATGGGCTCAGGGACTGAACCCCACAATTCATTTAGCTAAGCAAGTTACAATCTTGATGAGCTAGTTACAAAATTCAATATAAGTCATCACATCAACAATGGGTTCGAGATCGACCTCAAGTACAGATTCTAAATTAAGCAACTGACATATGTGGAGAGCTAGTGTCAAAATTTATATGTTTGTCCTGCATACCGCCCCCCATCCAGTGGGCAGCGGTGGATAGGTTACAATCACTTAGTTACTACCTACAGTTAGCAAACTGGGGATATTTGGCTAAAATTTCTGGTAGCAGATCATTTTGAATGAAATATTGACACATCGCTGGAATATTGGTTATATAATTGTCTCTAAATTCACGTATCTTTTCGCACTCCATCACATATAGTGACGGAGGGTGTGCGAATAATTTTGTTGACACAGTTTACATTTGGTCAGGTCTACTTTTACCTGAGTAAACATTTGATTTGAATCGATTTGACTAAACAAAAAATTGGGCTACTCTTCTTGCAAATTCGCTACTTTTAGCAATTTGGATCTGGCAACCCTGCCGCGGCTGTAGCTGCCCCTAACCCTACAACAACAACAAATACAATTCGACCAGACCCCGAGGAGGTGCTGTATACTTATACTTATTAGTCATCAGGTTGTTAGCCAGCTCTTTGTATCACTATTACCATCATCACCAAGTGGCGACTTGGTGATGTAGACCAGTTGTATTCCACCAGGCACCTTACAACACACTGCAGGCAGAAAAGGACAGGCTTACTGCCATGTGTTGAAGTTTAAGTTAAGGCAAGTACTAAACCTCTGGTGTCTGGTCATGTTACCTCTTTTTCTCCCCAACCCTTTTTCAAACTGAAGTCATAGTAAGATCTGCCCTGTAGCAAACTAGAGGTAAAAAGAGGGCCTCAAATCTAGTCACAGTTTATCGTGGTCCCAGGCAGGGGATCCTTTATTCCAGGCGGGGTGAGACTTATGGGCAAGTTACCTTAAACCTATTGTTCACCTAGCAATGATTAGGATTCTGGGTGTTAGTCGACTGTTGTGGGGTCACATCCTGGAGAATGGTCAGATGCTGCATATATCCGCTAGAGATCCGCTATCCGCTACAATAGCTGCTAGAGACTACCGACACCCAGGGGAGCGAAAGTAGATCTTTGCAGCTTGGAGCACTGGAGAGTATTCTGAGGTCTAGCTGGTGGTGAGCTGCTTCTATACAAAACCGAGCCCGTGTAAGTGGCGCTGAGGTGCAGGTAACTATCAGCTGGCAGTCTCAAATGAGCAGTTAGGCTAGTTGACTAGCGAGTGGAACTGGGCCACCAGACAGCAGGTGTGCAGGTGTGTTGGGTACTTGAGGGGGCAGGGTGGTGGTAGTGTCCATCTAGACGCTACTAATATTAGAAGCCGAACAAGATGAACAAGAACATCAAAATAAATAAATAAATATTATATATATATATATATATATATATATATATATATATATATATATATATATATATATATATATATATATATATATATATATATATATATATATATATATATATATATATATATATAATATATATATATATAATATACAGTATATATAAATAAATAAAAAAAAATAAAAGTATGGTAACAACAATAGCAACACAACACACACAAAACGATAATGCTCAAACATATAATGCTGAATAACCTACCCAGTTCCAGTACCTTGCCCCAGGCCCAACGTAACTAAGTTGTTTGCTATATTTAGTCCAAACATTTATTACAGTTCTAATGCTTATGGTATTCCGAGAAATTGGACATAATATTTTAATGGTAGTATGTTAACTATAAAAGCTTCAGGGATGCTAATTGCTTTTTTAATTTATACAATTAAGTACTGTACATTACAATACGTATTAGTAACCATAAAATAGCACTTGTCATTTTCAGTTTGTTTTACTGTTTATCTTTGTGAAAGGAATTACATGTATGTAACTGAGAGCCATTACCCTAGCTGTTAAAAAATGAAGCATCTGTGTATTTGGAATATTGCATAATACTTGTTTTATACTATATTTTCATGAAATGTTTGAATCCTAGGCTATCTAACTGATTAGTTTGATTTTTTTCAGAAAATGCATTGAACTCCAACAATGGCAAATATCCGTGGTGGTTCTAGTGGGAGACCAACTCTTGCACCGAGCCGTAGCACTGTTTATGTATCAAATTTGCCATTTAGCCTCACCAATACAGATCTACATAAAATTTTTGAGAAGTTTGGAAAACTTGTGAGGTACTGTAATACTTGTTTTCAGATACTTTCTGCATTTAGAATAAGTTGTGATTTCCATTTGTAAATTATTCCCTGTTTATTGTTTGCTAACATAGTAAGAACTTGAGTAAAAAAGAAATCCACCACTTTATCACTGTATTATAATTGTAGAGACAGGAATTACACATACAAATACACAAGGTGTATCAGGCTAAATTGTCTTTTGGATACTACTTACTCAGACTAACCACTTTGTTGTTTTAAATATATTGGGATCAAGTTGTCCAGCTTGTGAATCCAACTTGTGTAGCTGTGTTATTTTAATATTTGACTAAAGTTTTAGTTTTAATGTGGCTTATCAGAACTTGCTGTGATATGTTTATTAGTGTTTTGGTATTGGTGGTTCTGCTCAATCAATTGAGTAATTAAAATAATGTTGCGGAAATCTGTTGTCAAAAAATATTGTTAATGTGTTACCAAAGGCTTTGAGAAGATTCCAAAATAAGAGAAACATGTAGAGTTGACTATAGAACAGAAAACACCGGATTATTCAAACTAATAAAAGATGTCCCATTCTTGTCAGGTTATCTGATATAGAACTTTCATGGAACATAGGTATGTTCATGTATTTCAATCATTCACAGAGCAAAGCCCCAACACATGCATTAGGTATGGTAAACATGAGGGAATATGTTATAGTTAATATTTTTAAAGTATTAATTTAGAAAGAGGGGTAGTAGTGTTGAATCTGCTCAATTGTGTTGATGTTTAATGGCTGCAGACACTGTTTAATAATGTTGATTTATTTCATATGATTTGTTTCGCATCTCTGAATTTTGTTCAATATTTCTCCTGTTTTTTACATGACAAACTTTGTTGGTCTTATCAACACTAAACACTTTTATTTGTAAATCCTTGAGTCTTAAGTTTCAGGATACTGTATTTCATCTATGTATATTTTGTCACAACAATTAGCATTTATTATTCACCCCATGTTGTGAAAACTTTGATGGTTATAAGGTCATGAATGTAAGTACAACTGTAATATCTAGACATGTTATATATTTAAATAATATACAGTATTAGAAACCTCTTTATATTAGCTCTTATTATCCATTAATACTCCCTCTACTAAAAACTTAAAGCAATTAAATACATATATTATCACTTAATTTGTATTATCTTTCATTTTACATCTTATATTTACAGTGGTTATTAAAATTTAAGTACAGTATATCTAGATACATATTAATTATTAGTAATTAAGGATTTTTTCTGAAATTTATTTTTTTTTCTATTTTTTAAGCCTAATACAAGCACAGCATAACTTTTTATTGCAGAGTGACAATTCTTCGAGATAAGAATACTAGAAAGAGCCGTGGCGTTGCATTCATGTTGTATTTGACTCGTGAGGAAGCTCAAGCCTGTGTGAGAGGGACAGATGGCTGTGAAATGTTTGGCCGCACTTTGAAGGCAAGCATTGCAAAGGACAACGGACGTGCTCCAGAATTTATAAGAAGACGCGAATATCTTGATAAGTCCAGGTAAGCTGTTATCATTTTAAAATTAAATTTTTAGATTAATGCACATTATTTTTAAGGAAGTTACTTACATGGCTTTTTCTATTATTGGTTTTAGTTCTGAGAAGTCATATTAGGTTGCTCCCTAAGGTAATGATCCACTATATTATATGATCAGGTTCATGCATTGTTAAACAGTATAACATTCTGGCACCAGCACCAAAGGGAACTTTACAAACATTACTGGTGAGTCATTGAAGGTGCTAGGAAGTCACATGGCAAACACTTGATACATCCCAGAATGACTGAAGCTATACTATTCGTTAAAACTTGAACCCCTTGCGAACCTTCCTCTGACAAGACAGGTAATGGTAAAGAGAGAGGTTTTCTAATTGCTAGTTGCCCTTCATGCCCACCAAACAGCAGCACCATACAAACCTCCAAGTTACCAAACCAGAGTCACCTCACATTCTGACTGTCTTGTGCCTGTCAGCAGATGGTGGCTGGAATTAGTCAAGTTTGACTTGTTTGTATCCATGAAACTTATTTTCTGGTGCATAATGTACCATGCTTACAGGTAGACTTGGTACAAAGTATCAAGATGTAGAAGACCACTGCAGAAGCATGAACAGAACCACAATAGAATATAAACAATAAATATAAACTGAACCAAAAAGCTTAAACCACACTACACAGTGAAAATAAAGTTTCAAAGGATGGACACATATCACAGTGAAAATAAAGTTTCAATGGATGGATACATGTCACTTAACTGAATACTGTGCTTGCAACATAGGGAAGGATGTAATGGTGAGGAATGCAATTTTGGTGTATGTTTGCCAACTAGTGATAAGTGAGAGCACTACTAGGAAGTTCCTGTGATGGCAAGTTAGACTTGAGAAGAACTTTAAGAGTTTAAGTAAACATTCTAAACTCTGGGTTGGACTGAGATTTTCTCCAGTGCCTTCCTAGCACCAGTATGACTTGACAGAAAAATTTGAGAATATCCCTATTGTGTCCATGGAAAATATTACCCTGCCTTGGCATGCATTGTCTTGTCCAATAGCTGCTTAGGGAGCAGCTTGAGTGGCCATTCATCAAGGAGTATTTCTAGTCTCATAATGCCTTATTTCTTTGATCTCAAGTATAGCTTTGATGAAGTTTTGTTGGGTATAGAGGCATAGTCCTTCTGACAGTCAATTGGAGCTGGACTGAGAATTGTCCAGTTTCTATCTTCTTGATATTGTAAAGAGGCCCAGCTGTCATATGAGATGAGAAGTAGCTCTGGCTGGCAGTAGCAGTAGAATGTAGGGAAAGCAAGACTTGTCTCTAGGGGGTGACAAAGGGGCTTAAACTCAAAGATATGTTTAGTTTTTTATAGGGAGTCAGGACCAGAAGCAAAAGAGCACAATTAATGGTTAAATTCAAAACAGGATTTTCTTCATTTTAGTTTTTTATAAAGGCCGTTTGTGGTCAACGGGCCCATAAAGCAGTGTATATCACAGTGCATTTAGTTCATTTGGACCAATTAAACAAAGAACAATTTGTAAAAGTAGATGGCACTTTTTGATTTTTAGTTTTGTGTTGCTATTTCTCAAAATTTGTACAAATCGTATTTTTTCAGGTGTTATGAATGTGGAGAAGGTGGTCATTTAAGTTATTCCTGCCCAAAAAATCTTCTTGGGGAGAGAGAACCAGTCAAGAAAAAATCCAAAAAGAGAAAAAAAGAATTTGAGGAGGACTCGCAAAAGTCTGAGATATTAGAAGCTAGTGATGACGATGACGCAGGTGACCAAGAGATAAACTTTGAAGATGAATCATTGAGTGGAGCTATTAGGTATCAGGTAAGTCATCCTTTTTTTCATCAATAGAGATATTTGATATCTGGTGTGTTGCCCTAAAGTAAATACTGTAGGTGAGTGGAGAATTAAATATCAAGTAAATCACATTGTTATACAGTACATTCACTGTTTTACAGTACAGGGCTGTTTTACATTAGGCTCAATTTTCAATATGCTGTTTATTCACTTTGATCCTACAATTGTCTTAAGTATTTTTTGTTTTTCAAAATCTGGATGCAAATATGCAAACCATACATAAGGATTAAAATGAAACACTTTATAATCCATTATTCTTAATCAGTATATACAGTATAAAAATTACATATGGTCAGATTTTTTTATGAAATAATATAGAAAAAATTACCCATAAAAATGCATGAACTTAAATTGTTATATTTTTATCAAAATATTAATTTCTTTAAAAATTTCACCAGATGTTCTTTTTATTTTTATATTGTGATTAAGGATAACGTGTTAAAAAGCTATAAATTTTAATGTATTACTGTACTTCATTACTTCATTTAAAGTCAGGAACAGGAAGTTGGTGTACTGAATATACTGTACATACTTTAGGCATGTAAGGTCCTGCGACATTGAACTACTGAACTTTCGCAGCATGTAACCTTACAACAGTTGTCCAACTCCGAAGTACCTATTTACTGCTAGGTGAGCAGGAGCATTAGATAATAGGAAACGTGTCCGTTTCCTATTTCCGACGTATAAACGTCGTATTTATATCTGTAAAAGATCTGTCTGTTAGTTTGTCTGGGGCTAGCCACACCCTACATTTCAAGATAACTCATGGGTGGTATGGGATTGTCATAGGCTGGTCAAGGTCAGCCCCAGTGCCTAAGTGGTCTAGTTGCTCTGTTGCCCTCATCATGAAAGGCTGGAAAGACGGTATAATGAAAAGGAATAAGAAATACAAACAATTGAATGATGATCCCAATAAAAGATACAAAGGTTATTCAAGAAGATAAATGCTTTTTTAATAAAAGTACACAATGCATAATTTATTATTGGTTTTGTATGTCTTGTACAGCACTGTATTGGAAATTATTATTGTTTTATTAATTTGTCTGTTTTATGGCACCCATCTACATATTGAACTTCCCTTTTTACACCATCTTTAAACTCAATACAATTATTGCCAATGTAACATAATTTTTTTCAAATACAGTAACTTGGTCAGTAACCCACTCTAATTTTCGTTCTAGCAAGAGCTACGTGAGGCAGAGGCATTCCAAAGCAGAATGGCTGCTGGAGAATTTCTTAAATGTGAACCGCAAGTTCATCGAGCAAAGATAAAACAATCAAGTTACTTCAGTGATGAAGAAGAATTGAGTGACAGTTGAATTACTGAATATTTGCATTAGATTACTGTACAGTATATATAATTTTTTGACAACAAAAGTATATAACATGAGTATATACTTATTTATTTATTTTTATTTATTTTTATTTAAATTTTTATTTATGATGTAGGGCCTTGGATGTGTTGTATCATTAAATAAGTTATTATACAGTAAATTGGATTTGTACTGTATTTATGTTTGATAACATTGTTAAACTCGTATTTAAATATCCACTGCATAGTAATACAGGTAGATTTGGCTCACCTTCCTACTTGGTCTTACTCTCCTTCAGTCTTCCTTTTGTCCTGATCCTATTTACTCTGTCAGAGTGTAGTCATCTATATTTAAACATGCCTAAACCATCTAAATACTGTGCTTCTTCCTTTTATTTTTCCATTACCCCTTTCTTTACTCTCACTATGTTTCTCATATTTCTCACCCTCTCTTTTCACTGTTACCTCACCCATTTTACCCCCTCACCCCTCATCTAATATCTCCATTACCATAACCATCTTCACTTTATATATTCATTACCATAACCATCTTCTCTACTCACAATTCTCATCACTGTAAATGAATGAATTTAGTTCGTTTACCAGGAAATCATGAATATGTACAGTAAGTTCTATTTACAGTTGTGTACAATTGTGGATGGAAAACATATCCACAATTTCATTTCATATCTCATGAAAATTGTCCTGTTGGGATGAGGATTACAGGCTGATATATCTTAATGTATTTGACTTAGGCCAACCATGACCTGCCTCTTTCCTGTACCATCGACCATTTCCCTTGCAAAATAAGGCGAGGCTAGCCCCAAGCATCTGGCCTCTAACTTTGGACAGGCAGACAAAAAAATATCATTCTTATAGGTTAGAAATGTGTTTTGCTCTCGTGCAATAGTGTAGGATCAACTCATCCCTCCAGCAGACGTCACCTTTTTTTGAAGCTCGTATCCTTACTTGTCCTTACAATCCTTAGTTTTGTCATAAAGTCTGCTGTTTATAACTTGGTTATCTCAGCATCTATTCCTAAAGCCTTGTTTCAATTATTTCTTAGACAATATTAACAGGGGTATAAAATTAATGGATACAAATTGTTTCACAGTGATAGAATATTAAATAAGAAGGAAAGAAGCAATTTAAGAGAAAATATGTAATGTAATGCACAACCTGTAGCACAGTTGGTTCACAATTGATTCAATCCAAGTTCGATTTTTGGAGAGGGCATAACATTTGGACAATTTAGAACAGCGAATAATTTCAAAAGAAGGCACCAAGCCGGGAAAACTGGCACCGCATATGTCGCACGATTTTAAAGTAATTTTAAATATCGTGCAGAATGTCAATACAAGGCACAAAAAAAAAAGACACACAACATCAAAGTCATCAGATTTCTCAAGGATTCAATAAAGAGACAAGTGACTATGTGGGACACTGGGAAAGGAAGTCGTTTACATATCCTGAAAATCAAGACAAACTACAAGTACTGTACATAACTGTAAAGGGGACAATGCAGTTTAGACAATGAGTAGAAAATGTTTCTATTAGGTGCTCACGAGTTAAGCATGTGTAGCTGATATGCAGCCTAGCCAGAGTCGTTTCCCATTGTCTAGTATGACGGTAGGAGGAAGGCCATGGGGATAGAGGACAGGTAAGAGTATGCAGTCTGTTGTTCTTAAAAAGAACAGACTGCATACTCTTAACCAAACCATTAGTCGTGCCAATGGTTGACAACAGTATGAATGACTGGATAGAAATCTGAAGAAGGAATCCATTTATGGGAGATGGGACAGGCATGAATGGCCATAATAGCAGTGGTGTCTGCAAGTTTATTTAAGGTAACACCAATATGGCTGGGAACCCAGCAAAATTTGACTGTCCTAAATCTGCTAAATATGAGGAATGGCCAGTAGAGTATTGGATTTAAAACCCAGATCAGCCTGCAGTCCACCAATTAATATTTGCCCAAAACAAAACAGACTCACCTGGACAGGAAACAAGGGAAGATCCAGGGAGAAGCCACCATGGATTCACCAGAAAGAGGCACTCTAGTAAATTCAACTCTGGTTTTATGGAAGAGCCGATGAGATGGCTGCCTGTTGCACAAAGGAATACCCACAGCAGAGCGGAGGTTAACTCGATCACTAAAGCACCTAACCACTTTGCAATGACTGCAAGGAGCTTCAGGGTAAACTACTGACCCTTGACCCTTGACACCAAAAGAGGGGTTGAGGACCACCACCATTGCAGACCTGCAACATCACCTTGAAAGGCACATGCATCGTGGGTCCAAGAGCTGGCAAAACAGGCCGGATGTTCCCCACAATGCCATCAAAGATATGAACTGCAAACCCCCCCAAGGATTTCAGGTATTTTATCCTTAGTAATAAGATGGTTTGCTATTTTATACAACGTGTGTTTAGATGGGGCCTGTGATCCTCGGTGGCCTGGGTGGCAAAAACACATTGAGCTGCCATAAGCCCACAATTTTTTTTATTTAGTTAAAATAATGAGTGTCTTAGTAGTACAGTTGGGTTCGTTCTCAACTCTCATATAGGAATCCCAAGCGGGACAGAAATGGTTGGGCATGTTTCTGATCACCTAAATGCCTCTGTTCACCTAGCAGTAAATAAATACCCGGGTCAACTGTTGTGGGGTTGCATCCTGGAAAGGGTCAGTTGTTCAACCTTGGCAAGGGGGGGATAAGTCTAATGTATACAGAGATACACAGGCTACCTGTCCCCATCCCCTCGAGAAATATTTATGAGTTATATATCTCTTCCACTGCACGACACAGCTAGTTTAGTTCATTTATTATGTACCCATACCCATTTTATGGGCGGTAGTGGAAAGGATTACAGAGGCACATACTGGGCTCGGGGACCGAACCCCACAATTCATTTAGCTAAGCAAGTAAATGTAATCTTGATGAGCTAGTTACAAAATTCAGTGCACATCGTCACATCAATAATGGGCTCGAGATTGATCACAAGTACAGTTTCTATATTAAGCAACTGACATATGTGGAGAGCTAGTGTCACAATTGATATGTTTGTCCTGCACACCGCCCCCACCAAGGTTATACTCAGTTTCTCTGACACACCTGGGGAATGATTTTGCTAATTATCCATAAACTGCGCTACATTTATTTACTTATTTATTTATTTATATACTATAATGTACATTGGGTTTGTGAGAGTACATAACATTGATATTCATACATTCTTACAAAGCCACTAACACTCAAAGCGTTCCAGGCAGGTCCTTAATCTAATTGATCAGGTAAGATGAATAGGTACATTGTAGAAAAATTTGATTTCAACATATACATAACTACAATATAAATTGACGGAGATGATTACAATGGTGAAGATGCATGTCATAAGTACTGTACTAATATTGGTTGAGTGAGTAGCACGATACAATGTGAATTTGAAGTACAAGATAGAAAGCTCTTGAGGATGAAATTGGGTAATTTTTGGTATTACTTTTGAATAAGGCATAGGTTGGAAAGTTTTTTAATTCATTAGGAAGTAAGTTCCATAAACTGGGTCCTTTTATTTACATTTGCACGGATTTAGTTTGACTCTTGGGGGGAATATCAAAAAGATATTTATGTCTGGTATGGTGTTCTTCGGTTCTATTACATCTACCAAGGAACAGTTTCAGATCAGGATTAGCATTTAGGAACAAAGTTTAGTACATGTAAATAGTACAAGAGATTGTATGGAGTGAGTGTATGTTTAGCATGTCCTGGGACTTAAACAGAGGGACTGCGTGTTGTCTGAAGACAAGTGTTATAGTTCTGATAGCAGAATTTTGCTGTGTGATGATAAACTTTCATCACGATGGTCATGATGATGACCCCATTTACAGATAGCTTATGTAAGATAGTGATAGAATAACGAGTAGTATAATGAGATAACAGAATTTGGGTGTGTGATGATGGCCTTTCATTACGATGGTCATGATGACCCCATTTACAAATACCCTATGTAAGATAGGGATAGAATAACCAGTAGCATAATGAGAGGAGAGCAGAGTGGGTAACATAATATCTGATTTTAGAGAGTATACTGGCAGTTTTTAAGACTTTTGGCTATGTGTTGTATGTGCTGAAGTTTTTCAGTCTCTCTTCTATGTATAGGCGAAGTAACTCCAATGTTAACATTGTCTATCTAAAGTTGAATTTGGTTTGATGATTTACTTCCAAATAAAATGTAGTAGGTCTTTTCTATGTTTAGTGTGAGTTGGTTGATATCCATGAGTGTACTTTTTAAATTCATTATTTACTGTGTTTAGTGTGTGTGTAAGACTGCTTAGGAGAAGATGCTACACCAGTCAACAAAAATCATCCCAGAGCTTAATCATCTCTCGTATCAGGAACGGTTGAGGGCCACAGCGATAACAACACTACAAACCAGGCATGACAGGGCGGATCTCATCGAAACCTTTAAAATACTGAACAATTTGGATGATGATCCGGACAGTTTCTTCAAAGGGTCAGATGTAGCGCGAACGGGTTCAAGCTCAACAAGCCACAATGTAGGACTGAAAACAGGAGATGCTTTTTCACCCATAGAGTTGTAAACTCGTAGAACCGCCTACCCGTCGAAGCCGTAAATGCCAAAACTGTTGAGTTTTAAAATACAGCTGGAAAATATCATCAGGGCAAATGGGGGTACCTTTGACCATTTAGATCGACAGTGTGAGTCTTCTTCCGTGTTTATTTCTCTACCGATTTTTGTATCATCGGTAGAGAAATAAACACGTTCCGTCCTCGTCGAGGCCACTAGTATTAGTCACCCTTCAGGTAAATTCAGGTAAATAAGAAATTGGAGAGATCCTAAGATGCTGTAATGTGGAACTCCTACAGATAATGGTAGAGTGGAGGAGATTGTCATTGATGGCTACATATTGGTATCTGTCACTAAGATGGGATCGAATATAGTTAAGAGCAACATGGTTGGGGAAGTTTTAATATACAATACCACATAAGATTTAAAACTCCCGCGAGTACACGGAGCTCTCATATGCTTTCTGAGGCCTCTAGTAAACAGAAGCCATCTTGGAAAAATAAAATCCTTGGTGTGAGAGCTTCAGTATTGAGAGCGAGACTATGAGGAGCACATGCAACCCTCGCTCATCACAGCACTGCCATGCAGCTTGTGCCGACGGTATCACTTGTACAAGGCTCCGATATCAGTTACCAGAATGCCGTTTACGATGCTCGCAGCAGGAGGCAGAACATCCACAGCATACAAATTCAATTTTTTTTCAGGTAAAAGTACATACATTGATGAAAAGTTACAAACATAATGTTGGATTTATAGATAGAGCTAGTACATACAATACCTAAAGCAACTAATACGCATAGCGTTTCGGGGTTTGGTACATCTATTCATCTTGAAATGGGACCTTACATTACTTTTAAAAATATACTTTTGGGAAACTATTTATATTTAGGATTTAGTGACCAGGATTCTGATAATAATTGTGGGTATAGGTTATCAAACCTCAACAGAATGAAAAGAAGGCAGACATTGGACATCAGCTCTAGACATGTTTGTGTAGCTGACTTTAATTTTAGTAGACTAAATTGGGCCAAAATTACAGGAAATTCTGAGACAAGAATTTAGCTCAATTTAGCTGAGGGCCACTAACACACTAGTGGCTTCAACGAGGACAGGAAACCGGCAGCTTGTCAAAGGTCCCCTCATTTAACCTTTTTTTCAATCAGGATTTTAAAACAGCAGTGTTTTGGTATTTATAACTTCGGCGGGTAGGCGGCTCCATTGGTTTATAACCCCATGGGCAAAAAAGCATCTGTTTTCTGTCCTACAGTGTGGATTATTGAGTTTGAAACCGTTGCTCCTTATCTGTGTTACATCTGACCTTTCAAAGAAGTTGTGTGGATCAATGCCCTTCAAATTGTTAAGCATTTTTAATAAAAGTTTCGATGAGATCCGCCCTGTCATTCTAACCATCCTAATTTTTTTTTAATTTTGCCCGGAGGGGCGAGTTTATTGTGCAGCGTCACTCATCTTGTGAGTGGACATACCGCCTTAGCAGCATGTACAACACTACCCAATAGGAAGAAAACCCGCTGGGTTGTTCATCCTGTCAACCTGTAACGTAATATTTTATGCCTGTCATCATGCATTAACTAGTCTCTTTATATTGTATATCATTTGTTATTTTTCTTGAACATTGTCACTTATGTTAGCGTATTTCTCGTTTAGTATTAAGTGTTTACATCTTTAAACCATTTTTATCTAAATTAGTCTAAGTTTAGCCCGAAACGCTTTGCGTAATTGTGTGTAACACCTGTCTCCACAATTGTCCATTACCCTTATAATCTTTCATATATAATAGGGCAGCAGCATATTGCCATGTATACCTAAGTTTATTAATAAAATTAAAGTAATTCAAATGTTTAAATTTCGCGCCGAGTCACCACTGGGATCACCAAGAGACATGACTAGCAAGGTCTAACAGAAGGCACCCGCAGCACCTGACGTCTCTTGATGAAAATACGAAGCAGAAACTCCGTGATGTGTGTTACCATATGACCTTCAAATACAGTTTTGGTGTTAAGGCTTATATATATAAAGTGGTAGGGTTATAATGCCGTTACTGACCACACTCAGTACGTATATATACTTTAGTCCTAAAGTAAACTTGCAGTGTATAATACACCGTGAAGCGAGGCGAACGCGGTCCGTGTATTAATACAGTAGTAAGCAACTCCTAATGTAACCTCTCCTTGCCATTTATAATAATATTTTATCTTATAAGATATATAAAGGATCAATTACAGCGGTTACTTAGTATGTACAGTATTTATATTTTTTATAAAACCACTATATATGTATATAATATATAATTACGGACAGTTTCGGACATTAAATTTGAATAAAATTATTAGTATATATGGGTGGTAAATCAATAGGTGTGGGCTGTACATATGGCATATATTATTTTCATCGATTAACGTGTTATTTGTTGTAATTCAAGGGAATGTTGTTGGTTAAATTAAAATGGCAAAATAGGTAATTATGGAGAGAAGCAGCATGTGGTAACTCTGTGGTGGTGGTTGCTCGTGAAGGTCTTCATCAGACCTTTACTGGACGTGTCGGCGGCCGGTGCTGCACCTCCCGCTCCCTCCTGAGGTCCCAGGCTGAGCAACAGGTAAGAGCGTGGCGCTCTCTGAGGCTGTGTGAGGGGTGGAGCGTGGCGCTCTCTGAGGCTGTGTGACGGGTGGAGCGTGACGCTCTCTGAGGCTGTGTGACGGGTGGAGCGTGACGCTCTCTGAGGCTGTGTGACGGGTGGAGCGTGGCGCTCTCTGAGAGGCTGTGTGACGGGTGGAGCGTGGCGCTCTCTTGGGCTGTGTGACGGGTGGAGCGTGGCGCTCTCTTGAGGCTGTGTGAGGGGTGGAGCGTGGCGCTCTCTTGAAGCTGTGTGACTGGAGCGTGGCGCTCTCTGAGGCTGTGTGTGACGGGTGGAGCGTGGCGCTCTCTGAGAGGCTGTGTGACGGGTGGAGCGTGGCGCTCTCTTGGGCTGTGTGACGGGTGGAGCGTGGCGCTCTCTTGAGGCTGTGTGAGGGGTGGAGCGTGGCGCTCTCTTGAAGCTGTGTGACTGGAGCGTGGCGCTCTCTGAGGCTGTGTGTGACGGGTGGAGCGTGGCGCTCTCTGAGGCTGTGTGTGACGGGTGGAGCGTGGCGCTCTCTTGAGGCTGTGTGTGACGGGTGGAGCGTGGCGCTCTCTTGAGGCTGTGTGTGACGGGTGGAGCGTGGCGCTCTCTTGAGGCTGTGTGACTGGAGCGTGGCGCTCTCTGAGGCTGAGTGACGGGTGGAGCGTGGCGCTCTCTGAGGCTGAGTGACGGGTGGAGCGTGGCGCTCTCTGAGGCTGAGTGACGGGTGGAGCGTGGCGCTCTCTGAGGCTGTATGATGGGTGGAGCGTGGCGCTCTCTGAGGCTGTGTGACGGGTGGAGCGAGGCTGTGACGGGTGGAGCGTGGCGCTCTCTTGGGCTGTGTGACGGGTGGAGCTGGCATCTAAGAAATACATTTTAACCCAACCCTTCTTTCCCTGTGGAAAGTTAATGAAGTGAATTCTGGAGAGGATAGATGTTTTGAAGAGAGGGAAGGAGACGGGTGGAGAGGGGGGGAGATTGGGAGAGGTTTGATTGAGGGGGATGTTGAAGGAGGTCTTGGAGAAAGTTGGAGAGGAATAGGGAAAGGTGAGAGAGGGAATGAACACGAGAAACCAGAGTGCAGCTGGGTACTCCTATAATCATGTACAAGAAATGTCTTTCTTTCATGTGCCAACGTTGAAGGCACATGAGTAGGGCTAGCCCAGCCTAACTCTTCAAGATGCTGCACGGGTGGTATAGGAGTGTAATAGACCACTCAGGATTGGCCCAAGAATCCCCTCCCCTTCCTTTTCAAGAAATATTGCTCTCCTGTTTCTTTCATGGGGTCTTAAATTGTGGATATGTAGAGTTTTCTGCTTTTCATCTGTTCGTAATAATAAATTATCCAAGAGGGAGTGTGTGTTGGGCAATAGAAGGGAAGGGGGAGATTCGCAAAATGCGTGTGGCAAAACATAATGGTTGCCAACGTATACCAACACGACCCTTGCTGACACGATAAACAATCGCTATTTGAGGCTTTTAAAACAATAATTTGTAATTAAAACTTACAAATACTTATCAGGAAAAAGATGTTTTATGGTGTTTAACTATTACATATTTGCCTGATATAAACGTCAGCTCTTAGTCTCCTTATAAAAGGAAATAAAAGAATGACATTTTTTTTAAATATTTAAGTTGAAGTTTCTGCACAATGTTGCCGGATCGTGCAGGTTATGATGGTTAGCCATATGAAGATGCTTGACCTACAAGCGGGAATAACTTGGATGAAAGGGAGTTATCATTGGCCTATTGGGCCAATAGGCCTTCTGCAGTTACCTTTGTTCTTATGTTCTTATCAAGCACGGGTTGGACAAGTATATGAGTGGGATTGGGTGGTTATAGAATAGGAGCTGCCTCGTATGGGCCAATAGGCCTTCTGCAGTTACCTTTGTTCTTATGTTCTTATCAGAGGCTACACAGCTCGGGTTGTACTGAAGCAGTGTAAAAACTAATCTACGTCAACCCGTTATCTTGAATACGTATTGACTTATATCCCAAAGGCCGAAAGCTGGTGTACTAAAAATGGTAGCGGCTGGCGAAATTGACGTGATATCCCGTTTACTGTTCGTGGGTCCTCGGGTAGGTTAGGTTCGGGCAACTTGGTACAGCAGTTTAGTGTTGTCGGGAACGCTCGGGAGAACGGGTTGTCTCATTGACGTTAAACTGGTCATTCCAGTACCCCGATACCCCCTACCACATTGCCATCCACGAACCTTCCCCCACCCCCACATTATATATATAATAAATAAACCTTAATACTCGTGTTTTCTGCGAGTATTGGGGTTTCTATACAAACCGGCGAGTGTGCAGGAAGTCGCCCTTCACAGTCACGCTCGCTCCGGGGGCATCACTGGCTATTACTGGTTCCTAACACTCACCCTGAAGCGTGCACGAGAGGACAGGGCTCACTGTAGCTGCTCATGATTACTTGATAAAGATATTACTTATCAACCTTTTGATCTAATCATTTAATATCCATCCACTCGAGCAAATAGTTGACCAACCCTGCCTGCGGCCTGCTCTTACTCGGCTTGGCAACCTCTACATGTGCTCCTATCTAACGAGCTGTAACCATAGCTTATTCCTTCCTGCCCCGGCATTCCTGCCTGCGTGCTGTCCTCTTATCCCTGTACTGGTAAACTTGTAGGGTCGAGCGTCAGATCTTGGGATTCTGCCACTTTGGATATCGATCGTATAATTTAATGGGTTAAGACTCATTCCACTTTTTCACTATAGAAGTTTCCTTAAATGTTCGTGGCTGACCAGTGTGTAGTACACGGATCTCTCCTACCGCTGCTCGACAGTCAATATCGACTAAGAATTTAATGTTGTGATCACCCTCTTGATAGTGCCTTGTTGTAGGGATTGGAAAAAGGATTCACAGCCAGGGGTATCCATACCTCATAGGGATATGGGAACCGTATACTAGGGGAAAGTTTGGGACTCGATCTGAAAATTACAAATTAAATTGGGATTAAGCGAATTGAGGCAAATGCCTTGTTTTGGTTGCTAGCTGTAGCAAGTTTGTGTACTTGCCGTTTTTCTACAAAAACAAATGATAAAAGTCGTTGTGATTTTCTCTAGGCCTAGCTGTCCATAAGTAAAGTAAATCAAAGATATTTACATCTTTCTGAAGTCATAAGGACGTAATAAACTGATGGTGGAGACTTCAATAGTCTGGGGAACATAATGGGTAAACCATTCGGGGTTTTGAATGGGGTCTTCTTTTGTTGTCGGTGTGTACACCGACAAACATGATGACTTGACAGTTGCTCCAGCCTGCTTTATCATCAATATTCTTGTTTCTGTGTTTTGCTGAATCATTACACACCTTTAATGTTCTCCTCGACGTCGGAGATCAGGGTCTCTGGTCGCATGCTTGTGAGGTGTTCTTGAAATTGTATTATATAAAGATACTGAAGCATCTTCACAAATAGCTAGCAAGATATCGTGAAGACGACGCCAGTTGTCTCCCGGGAGAGGATGGATGTGGAGCGTAAGAATACTAAACGCTACACGAGAACTGTTGACGAAAGTGTGAAAGTAACTCTGTATTAACCAGTCACTTCCCTTTGATGGGATGTACTTCAAAGCCTTAAGAGGGACACATTTCTCATCTCGGTCATGGTGGCTTAATTATAGTCGGTATTCGCTAAACAGTTGACGAGGCTCTAAATGCCAGCTGCTAGGGTGTTCTTGGCTCAATATTACCATTGTTATAGACAAACTCGTAACTTGTAATATTTTTAATAAAAGCAAACCAAGCCGCTATGCTTAATAAACCATATACAGATTTCGTAAGTTGGCACGTAAATGCTTGATGAATCCTGGCCATAACTGTAAAGTAAATACAGAATCCACCAAGACTGAGGCAAGAGATAAGTGAACACTTGTAATTACGTGCTGGTGATGCAAGCTTGTTAGATCACAACACCAGTGATTCCCGAGAAAGCTGAAGGTTAATGTCCATGATCCAAGGGTGGTTATGGCAGTGTAAATAATCAACACTCCCTTAAATTTCATCACTATGGAATTCAAGGCCTTGCACTGAACAATATTAGATCGTATCAGAATTGGACACCAATACGTAGTCATCAATTAAATAACCTCTCCCACTCTACCATTAAACACAGGAGTGCCACAAGGCAGCATCTTAATTAGAAAAGACCAGGTGCATTTTTTTAAATTAAACAAATAATGGAACCAAATACCACGAGAGACATCTCCCGTCACGCAGGGTACAGTCGCACCTCCACAGATCTCCAGTATCATCTATTGATACTGATGATGGCTCAAAAGGGCCACCACTTACGAGCTATTCATGCCCGTGCCACCTTTTGGGTGGCTTCGTCTTCATCTTAACACATTCACAAGGGAGCCATCTCCCGTTATGCAGGGTGCATTCGCACCTCCACAGATCTCCAGTATCAGATCTTGATACTGGTAATGGCTTAAAAGGGCCACCACTTACGGGCTATTCATACCCGTGCCACCTTTTGGGTGGCTTAATCTTCATCAATCAATCAATCGACCAAATACACCTTCAGACAATGTAAACATTGATAGTAGGTGTTAGGGAAAGTTCCTGGGCCTATATTTATAAACTAACCTATATTTATAGTCCAACCTATATAGACCAACCTGTATTTATAACTCGTCTCAGAGTAACTTGTGCTACCTACTCGCCAGCATTTTACAGTTTAGAAATCCACCGGTAGTATAAGAAATAAACTCTTGATAAGTTTAGGTTTAGGAAAGACCTGGGTAAATATTAGTTCGGTAACAGGATTGTTGATTTGTGGAACAATTACCGCGTAACATAATATACGTAGGATCCCTTGATTGTTTCAAGCGTAGGTTATACATATATATGAATGGGATTGGGTGGATATAAATAGGAGCTGCCTCGTATGGGCTAATAGACCTTCTACAGTTACCTTCATTCTTATTTTTTTATGATCTTATAAGTTCATCACTACTTTATGCTGATGTTTTTATTATGTGAACACCATTTATTTTCAATGTATACCTACCAGTATACTTATTTTTATTCAATGTTCTAACTTTTTGTTTTGTTTAGCTTAAGACCAGTGCCCGAAACGTTATGCGTATTAATGACTGCAAGAATGTACCACTTTAGTGTCCCGGTAGTACAGTTGGGTTCGTTCTCGACGCATAATCTAGAATTCCGGGTTCGAATCCTGGGCGGGACAGAAATGATTGGGCACATTGCCTTTCACCTAATGCCTCTGTTCACCTTTTAATAAGTAGGTACTCGGGAGTTAGTCAGCGTGTTGTGGGGGTTGCATCCTGGGTGGGATCAGTAATTTGACCTTGGTGGGAAGGGACCTCGATATACCCCCCCTAACGTGTTTGAATAAACTCTGGCTTCCTGTCCCCTGACACAATGACTTATTAATAGTAATCGCCAGCGTATGTACACTTTTAAAACATTGTATAGTCTTGTATACTGTGTATAAGTAAATACACTGGGTTGTGGCAATTTACGGCAAGGGTAGAGGGGGAAGTGAGGCTGGGCGGGGGAGGAAGGGGGTGTGAGGGCTCGGGTAGGGGGGGGGTGCAGCCAGCGATTGTCACAATAAAGTCACAATTTGAAGGTCATAGGAAATCTGATTGATTTCTGTATCTTTTGTTAATGTTTAGGAGCTTAAATGACATTTACGTGTAAATAAATTATCATGGGAAAATAATAGTGGTGTAACTTATCATCCACCTGCTTGCCCAAGGTCACGACTGGCATAACTTGCTTATTGTTAAACCCAGACGCTATTTTTGCTTGATGGGCGATAGGAGTTCGTGTGGTTTGGGGATGATAGGTTCGTTGGATACATGGACGAACATGAGGGATGAGTGGCAGCATATTTCCGGTTTGTGTGGAGAGCTTTATCTGTCGTTTTAATAGATCTTTGGTATTTTGTAAGAACTTTATAAATTGCTTCGAGAAATACTGTACATTTGTACGAATAACTCGACCCAGACACATTAAAATAAAGTGACATCCGAACGAAACGTCGTCACTTTAATTTCATATGCAACGATGTTCTAAACTTGTTTACATTTCGGTCACGAGGGAGAATAAACACCTCTGGTGACGTGTGCAAGCTGAACCTCACTGTCTGGAGTGTTGTCTAGTCACTATGACTGTGCAAGGGCATCGGGTGAGATGAGCTCTCCCAGCAGACACTCGCGAGCGCCGCAGTTGTATCCAGCAGTTTGTACTCGGGCTCTGTATCCAGCAGTTTGTACTCGGCCTCAGTATTCAGCAGTTTGTACTCTGTATCCAGCAGTTTGTACTCGGCCTCTGTATCCAGCAGTTTGTACTCTGTATCCAGCAGTTTGTACTCGGCCTCTGTATCCAGCAGTTTGTACTCTGTATCCAGCAGTTTGTACTCGGCCTCTAGTGTGCCACAAGGTTAATGTCGCTGTTACTATTCTCGGTGTCTGTGACTGGATTTCAAAGTAGGCATTTGTTGCTGGAGCATAGTTTTAATGTTACTAAGAGGACGAGTAATCTTCAGTAATTTGTTTACCGCTTTAAACGTTTTATAGAGTTTAAAAACTAGCCTTTACCAATCTTGTGGGCGTATAGCAACCTATTCTAAAAGCATCCCGTGAACAGTAATAGACAAAGAACTTGAACAAAACTTTTTAGATCGAAGACAAAATGAAATCTACACTTTCAATTCCATTTCATACTATCATGCAAGAGGGAGGGAATTATCATGGGAAAGCGCCAAGCCATTACGACTATAGCACTTGGAAGGGGTCAGGATAAGGACTTGGGATGAGGTGCCACATGTATGGATAATGCAATAAAATCGGCAGATTACTAGTTGTTTACCTTAATTTACCTGATGGCCACTAACACACACGTGCCCTCGACGAGGACAGGAAGCGGCGGCTTGTTAAAGGTCTCCCCCCCCCCCCCATTTGCCCTGATTTTTTCCCAGTTGGATTTTAAAATTTAAGATTTGGTATTTACGGCTTCGACGGGTAGGCTGTTCCGTGGGTTTATAACCCTGTTACTACTGCTCGGCTTGGACTCTGTTATAAGTCTCCCTGAGAATTTCATTATCTGCTGATGTAGACCTGACCAAATGTAAACTGTCGTTAAAATTATTCGAACACCCTCCGTCACTGACGGCGTGCGAAAAAGATGAATCAATGATACTTGATAATCGACTACATAATGGTCCAGGACGGACCGAAACGTCGTCGTCTCTTCAATTTCTAGCGTGTGGTTTGGTCAACAAGATGCATCAATTTATTAGAGGTAGCTCTGAGCTGCATTTCTTGAACAAGTATTAAAGAAAAAAGTAAAAATTGTATTCAAAATTATCTAGAAATTGTATCAATATCCCCAGTTTGCTAACTGTAAGTAGTAATTAATAATTTATTTTGTCGGGGGACAGGCATATGTGTATAGTTATCACAGTAATTATTAATGTGATAATTACATAGTAATTATTAAGAACGTAAAATGCCTAGAGCAACAGTGCAAGATCCTGAGGAGATTTTGCTTAATATTGGTCGTGTCTGATTCCCATCTAGTGACGCAAAGAAAACGGTAATTGGTTAATCAAATTTATTTTTAATTGGCTAATATAGGCGGAGGATCCGTTTAAGGGGACCGATTCAGCCTATAAATAGTTTGTACTATCGAGGGGGAGAGGATTTCCTGAAAACACCATTTGCTTAACTTCTAATTTGTGTAAATATATTTACACGTGTAAAATAGAACATTTTTCTCATTTCTGAGGGGCCGGGCAGGTAACTTTTCATGGTACGAGACCCCATAAACCATTCTGTGCGCGGTGGTGTAAAAGTTAGTCAGAATGGATTCAAGAGCTGGATTTCAATGCTGTATTGGCTAAGCAGTTTAAATTTGTTGACCTTAGTTTTAATTTGTTTCAAATTTGTGATTACAAATGTAGTGAACTAATTTCGGTATTGTAGCTAAAAGTACAGTACATGACCAAGCCAACTTCGTATACATGGTGACGGTCGGATACATAATGTCATGTGAACAGTTTTACTGACAGTGTACATTCGCTCACTAGAATCGGGATTGGGGTTTATGGTAGATAAACTAATAACTACATCGGCATGGTGTGAACTCCCAGAGGAACTTATAATGTCAAATAGCAGATATCACTATTATTCATGCAGGATAAGCAGTCTGTCATTACTATTTAATGTGGCCATAATCAAAGGTATTCCACCCTTACAGAAGATCACCAGTGAGCAGTGATAATCATCCATCCGTGTCGGCTCTAGCTGACGAATCCTACGAGAAGTCTGAACCATCAAGTGGTGTTTTGGTGAATCTGCAACACACTCCTTTAGCTCCCCTCTACCGTAATTTAGTGCCCTGTAGAACAGTGATTCTTTAGACCTCTGTTGCCGTCTCGGCGTGCGTCTGACAAGGCTGCTATAGAAGATGGCGCCTGTGACGGCTAATTCAGCAAACGAGGGGACGAAAGGTATATCGCTCTTCGTGAATGGCCAACTGTACACTGGTAAGTGCTCTACTTGAGAATTTTCCTTAAGTAAATGTGACTATCTATAAAATGTGCTAGGTATACTTCATTGAATTTAGTCTGCATATTTACCCGAGAGCCACAATTTCTCTAGTGACCTCGACGAGCACAGGAAGCCGGTGGCTTGTTAAATCCTCCCCCATTTGTCCTGATGATTTTTCAAGCTGGATTTTAAAGTTCATTCGTTTTGGCATTTACAACTTCGGCAGGTAGGCGGTTCCATGGGTGAAAAAGCATCTCCTGTTTTCTAGAGTCCTACAGTGTGACTTATTGAGCTTGAAAGCGTTGCTCCTTGTTTGTGTTACATCTGAACTTTTGAAGTTGTCTGGACCAGTGTCCTCCAAATTGTTTAGTATTATAAATTTCGACGAGATCACCCGTAATGTCTGTCATGTCTGGCCCCTCAACCTTTCCTGGTGTAAGTGTAGACTTGGTTGGCCGCTGTTAAACTTTAGAGAAAGCAGCTGTGTCTGTCTGAAGATGAGGTCTCCATACTTTGATACAATAACCACAGTAAGGGTGAATCTGAGATTTATACAGTTGAATAACTACTTTATTTCCTTTAAGTCAAATGTTTGCTTTATTATTCTTACGGGTTTGACTGGTATTTTTTATTTTTTACTAAAAAAAATAGATAAAGAAGCCTACTCGCTTAAATAAGGTGAACTTAAATAATTAACTTTAATAACAATTCATACTTATCGACCTACGTAGTAGACTAAGGACTAAAGTAAACATGGGGTAACAACCGTACCTGAACAAAAATACGGGAAAGAATAATACATGCCTAATTATATAAGAGTAAATGAACAGGGACATTGGTATAGGGATACATAAGATAAAGCAGTACTGCCGGTTTGTCCGGCATGGCCCCCCCCCCCCAACGAGGCAGGACAGCTATAGGAGCTGGCCGAGACCTCTCTCCTCAGGCGGTAGTGTAACCGCACTCTGCCTGATGTATATGTAGCTACCGCGTCGCTTTTCCACCTTCCTACTCGCTTGATGACCTGTGTGGGGGTTGATTTGCTCCAGCTGAGTGGTGCGTCCTATGCGGAACGAATATAAGGCGTAGCCTTGTCTTGGGATTTCTTGCGCCTCGAGTGTTGCGTGCACGAACACTGGGAACACGTCTAAGTCAGCCGCCTGGGGCAGAGATGTTACCACATGAAAGTCGACCATCTTCAGTACAGACACCACCACTAGTGAAGAACATATAACACGCACAGACTGTAACATAGGCTATTCACATGCTTTAGAGATTGGGATCAACACTAAAGAAGAAAATAGTTTTTTCTGACCAAACGTACATTTTCTCAACCACTAGTTAACCGACCGCAATAAATTCCAGCAGCTAAGAAATAGCTTTCAAAAGACTGTCAACGAGTATTAATTAATCAGCAATCAGATTAATTCCATCAGAAAGATTGGCTAGCCCTAACGCCACTAATTCCTATTACCTAGACAATTTAGGATCTTAATAAATACCTATGGTGCTACGTAGCCTTCCCGGCTTGGTGCCTTCTTTAGATAATAAAGAACTGAAAGTGCTGATGTACTTTTGAAGTACAGTATAACAAAATATTACGTCTTGGACCCAAATACCATCAGGGGTCCCCACATAACCGTGGCAGCTAGGGGCAATAGTTATTAAAGTCCCACCCAGTGGGGACAGTACCAGACTAATAAATAAATAAATAAATAAATGTTTATTCAGGTAAGGTACATACATACATACAAGTGATGTTACATTAATGGATTGATATATAGATAGAGCTAGTACATACAATGCCTAAAGCCGCTATTACGCAATGCGTTTCGGGCAAGAAAAACATTAATATCTAGAACTTGATACTAATTGAGCATAAAGAATAAAAAGTGTTGAGAACAAATACAAATAAAGACTGTATTAACTAAAGTTAATACATCGTTGAATCAACAAAATCACGATAGATAGAGCATGAGGGTGACAACAGATTCATCAGGCATAAGATTCCCTGGTAAGGGGAGACAATAACAGCTGGAGGGTTTCCTTTCTCTGGCAACGAGAAACCAAACTTTTCCTAGGATGATATTGACAAAACATCTGCAGCACATGGAAAACTGTCAGATGCGAAGAATAGTTTTTAAGTACTTTTAAAGACATTTAAAAGCCTTCAGAACGCTTTATGCACAAGGACGTGACTAAGGTTGTTGGACCTGACAACCTCTCCATGGATGGCCACCCTTATGAAGATTTAAATATCAAACACAATATATGACTTATAAGGCAGATAAACAAACTGATGGTGAATCTTGTCATGTCCTATGGAAGTATTTGTTCCTCAAATATAAGTACAGTTAGTATATATTGCGGGGGAGGATGTTTATCCATAGATAAGGTCTAGCAAAGGTTAGTTCAGGTGTTTGGGTTGTGCTGATTTAGGGAGTTTTAAAATACAGGCTGAAAGTGAATTGAGCATGTTTAATGTAGCTATGAGCATCGTTGAGTAGAGCCTAGCAACATCATCTTACCCAAACTACACAAACTGAAGGCTGCTTAATTGTAGCACTGTGCCAAAGGAAGTTAAATACTGTACTGTGAAACAATGCACCGGTCGCCCCTTGGGTTGTGTGTGGAAATGGAAGGGCACTTCCATCTAGTTTCAGAATGTTTACATAGGTTCCCAGTACAACTGTGCCTATTTAACCAATACTGTCTGTCGTGCTGCTGTGCTTGGTATGCCAGTTCTACCAACTTGCATACATTCTTCAATGCTCCCATAACTGCCCCCCATAAACAACGTTACTTGACATTCATCACTTTGTAGTCTACTAACCATCCTATTGTTCGGATTCCAAACTGTTGACGGCATTAATAATTTAATAATAATAATTCATTGGTTCGGGGACAGGAAGCCAGTGTGTATTCATACACGGTAGACTTGTATCGAGGCCCCCACCCCCATAGGCCAAATTACTGACCCCCACCCAGGATGCAACTCCACAACACGCTAACTAACTCCTGAGTACCTACTCACTGCTAGGTGAACAGAGGCATTAAGTGAAAAAAAAAAGTGCCCAACCATTTCTGTTCCACCTGGAATTGGGGGTAAACTACAATTCTGAAGCAGAAGTAAGCTAACAAAATGAGAGCGGTCATGGAAATTAACAAATGAATGCAAAAAGAGGTGATAAGTATAACAGGCATAAACTATTACAAAATAGGGTCAGTAGTTGTAGCAATAGTACAGTAATAGTTTTTCTTTGATAACAGAATGGATAAAAAAGACATTCATATTACCTAGAATAAAAGTATAGTACTGGGATGCACTTTTTAGTTTGAATCATATCACTAGTATTTATTTTTACAATGCTCCTAACAACTGTCATGTTCATTCTAACAGTGGGACCAGAGGTAAAACCATGGACTCGCCTTGTGGATTTCCTGCGGGAGAATGTGAAGCTACCAGGCACAAAGGCTTTGTGTAGAGAGGGAGGATGTGGTGTCTGCAATGTTGTGGTTACCATTCCAGACCTGGAGACCCCGGGACACACGAAGATTCAGAGCATCCAGGCGGTACGTCCTTTCTAATTTGTTGGTACTGTACTGTGAAATATGCGATTGCTTGCTACTAGTAAAGCATGTGAGACACAAGTTATTCACAATTTGTCGGGTTTGAGATTAAAAAATATTGGTATTTTTACATTCTTGCGAAGCCACTAACATGAATAGCGTTTTGGGCAGGTCATTATTCTAACAGATCAGGTAAGATGAATAGCTACAATGTAGCAAAATTTTATGTTATCATAGCTTGAAGCACAAAGTAGGGAAACTGAGGATGAAATTAGGTATTTTCTGGTTTTACTTTTGAATAAGGCATAGGTTGGACCCTCTTCTATCCTCTTGCCTCCCATCCTCCATTTTGGAGTTGCCCTATCTCCCTCCTGACATTCCTTCCTCACTTTTGCCTCCCATTTTGTTCTTGCTTTCCTATCGGTTACTCTTGGAATATTTTATCCAGTACTTACTGGTAAAATCTAAAGGTGTCAACCTCACAGTACATTGCTAAATATAAAAAATTTTGGATCTCCACTTACAGTGCCAGATGCTGGTGTATGCATGTGATGGATGGAAAATAGAAACCATAGAGAATTTGGGTGATCGTTATGATGGCTACCATCCACTACAAAAAGCACTGCATGGTTTCTATGGCACCCAGTGTGGGTATTGCTCTCCTGGCATGATCATGATGATGTATGGGTTAGTATATTGCTCATTCAGTTTTCAGCTAGTTGTAGAATCTATCTACCAATTTATCATGCACGCAAGCAATAATAATATACTACTGAGATGATGCTACAAATAAGTTTGTCAGTCTGTTGCATAACGATGCAGTACATTTAAACCTTCATACTTATACATCCACAGTGGATTTGTTAAAGAACAGTAACCCAGAAAATTATATCAATATTCCATATATTTTTGTTTTTTCCCAGAATATTATGCTAACAATGATATTTACAGCCAGATGCAGTCAAGTGGGAGTCTGACGGCAGAACAGGTGGAAAAGTCACTGGATGGGAACATTTGCCGTTGTACTGGTTACCGTTCAATTGTCGATGCTTTCAAGTCCTTGGCAGTAGATGGTGATCCCAGCTTAAAGAGCAGATTGACTGATATTGAGGTAACTTGAATATATTAATATCTAAATGTATTGATCAATGATTTAGCAGATTATTAAGATAAAACTGTACTATGTACTTTCTATGTTTTCTCAAGTTTTGCATATATCTGATATTTCTTACATATATTCCTCCGCTTTTTCTTTTAATGACAGTAGTTTCCAGACAATCGCTGTATTCTCCTGTTCCCCTCTAGTTAGGTATGCCATATAGAGATTCCTTTTGCTTGCTTGCTTGCAGTCTGTCTTGGTGTGTCACTCTTTATAAATAAAATTGTATTGTATTGACATACTCCTATCCTGAAATTTGAATAGAAAGTTACCCCAAAATTTTGTTTAAATAAACATGGGGAAAAATATATATAAACGGTCTCAAAGTTACTGGTTTTGCGTAAATATATTTGTGCAATGATGCTACGTGTTAAAAATTCTTCTAATCAATAACTTTATTTTTTTAATAAAAAATATGTCTGATATTAGTAATTGCAGGGATTTATAAACAGAAAAGTCGTACTTTTTTTTTTTTAGGGACAAACATCAATTGATTCATGCGACATTGACCTTAGGTGAACTCTTATTTCAAATTATGAAAGTTGCACTCTAAGGGTTAATAACACTGATCTACAGTAGCCAGTTATTAGTAGATTTTGAGTCTAGTGCTCTTGTAGTGCTTTTGCATTTGTGTAAATTTAATGCCTGACCTATTTTAATATTGCTAGCATATTTACTGATGTTGCTGTGCACTCCTGTGTCTAAATCATTTGCTTATAGTGAATAATGGACCTGGGACAAAACCCTAGGACACTCAATTTGCAACTATTCCCACTCTGAGTTTACTCCATTTATTTCAGGATGCGTACAAAGCTAAATGCAAGAAGGGTGCAGACTGTAAAGGATGCTGTAAAGAAAACAAGCTTGCCAAGTTACCTGGTAACATTTGCAGCCACGAAAAGCAGTCCTACTCGACCTCCAGTGACCGAACACTTTCTGTGGGCTCGGTCCAATGGTTTTACCCAACAACTTTGGCGGTATAGCTCACTTTTAGCAGTTTTGTTTGCTTTTGCTCTAAATTGTATTGTTTTCCTTTCAATTTCTATTTTATCAAGATTAATTTTATAAAATGTTTTAATCGTATATAATGCATGGTATCTGTAATAGTCAAGGGTATTGTACTAGTGATAACAGCTTGATGAGTGATTGTTAACCAGGCAAGAAATGTATCTTTACTCTTTAAAAACTAGCAAAATTGTTAAGAATACAATTTTCTAATATTCTTACGCAAAATCAAAATACTCTATTGTAATATCAATTTGTTAAATTTCACATGTATGGAATAATACTTGAATTTAGGCAGATTAAAGCAATTCCTGTTCATTTTGCACCTAGTAAAGTTTTATACATACAGTATTTGTAAAAAAAAAGAAACATATTTGGGTATTTGTCCCAGCTGATTATGTAAGGTCCCCATGTGAAGTTTACGATAAATGAGGAGGAAGGAGGTTGTAAGAAAAGTGGGAGATAGGGTTAGTAACAGATGGGGTTGGTGGGGGGGAAGGAGGGGGAGGGTATAGTGAGTGAGGAGAAGGGGAGGATAGTGAAAGGTAGGAAAAAGGGAGATAGTAAAAAAAATGGCTAACAATTTTAAAATTTTTACATTTTCAGGGTGTTTACAGTGCTTTGCAAAAATTGGGCAAGACTGATAAGGTTCGGATTGTTGTGGGAAATACTGGACAAGGTAAGGTTCTATTCAATATTGTTTCACTTACAAGTTTATCATCATTAACTGATATTTGTTGTTGCCAATAATGGGAGTTTGTTTCTCTAACCTGGTAATGCTGTACAGTTTGGTAACCTTAACCTTTTAACCATTTTGCCACAAGGTAGGTTCATATTTTCTCGAAACACTGCATCATGATTTTAGGTACAGTATGTGCTGCAACATGCAGCAAGACATGTAGTGTGACACTTAGTGGGATATGTAGTGCAGCACACTTATAGACATTTATAAACTGATAAACAGTGCAATGTATAGTGTAGAACATAGTGGAATGTATGATATAGTGCATCACGTGGTGCAAAATATAGTATAGGGTATATTGTTTTGGCTTGTATACCTTTGGGAGCTTTCATTGGCTTGCTGCTGGGAAGTGAGAGGCTTGTCCTTAGTCACCTGTTGTACCACATTTGCTTCAGTTTTCCTTCCTGGGGTTTACCTAGTGCCTGCTTGTTCAGGTGCTCCTGTTGTTGTAGCTCTTGGTAGTGAATGTTGTCGCTGAATTTTCCCAGTACCTGTAGATGGAAAAGGAACTCGTAGCAAAATATGCAAGTGGTGCCCTTGCGTCAGCTATTAGTAAAGCTACAATCTCTACAATAGAAAGACAAAAAAAAAAGAAAGAAGCTCTGAAGCACAATTACATGAAGTTTTTAATAGTAGATGACTTCCCTGCCACACAATAGCATCTCTCCTCCTTGCCACCTTCCATGTACCATAAACTCTGAAGGGCAGGTAAAGTGAGAATATATTTGCATTCAATAGATTTATTTATTGTATTCATGTGTGCTTTTTTTAAGTCTGGAATTGATTAATCTAGTTTAAATAATTCCTTATGGGGAAAAAAATTCAGTGCTCAAACGGTTTTCTGGAACCAATTAAGTTTGAGTTCCGAGGTTCCATTGTACTGTATTGGCATAATTCACATCCATTAACCTCTATACTGGCTATGTAAATTTTAATAGTATGCCAAATTTATAGTAAATTATCTGCAGGCGTATTCAAGAATGATGGACCATATTCAGCATACATTACTACCAATGGGATAAAGGAAATGTACACCGTAACGATGGAGTCGCCACTGAAGCTGGGAGCCAATGTGAGCCTCACGCGTTGCATTGAAGTGTTCAAACACATGGCTGAAAGTGATCCAGGCTATGATTATCTACATGCTCTTGTCTCTCACTGGCAAGTGGTAGCTAATGTTTCTGTCAGGAATGTAAGTATAATAAATATTAGTAAATCCTGAACTTTCCAATTTTTCTTTATTCATTCGGTAGTTTAAGTCCTCATTGATTGGAGCCAGTTGCATGTGGAAATTATTTAATAACAAAAAGAATTTAGTTTTTTACTAGCTATAAGAATACTAATGTAAAACAATTCTGTTTTAATAACCAACTTGGAGATTTCCTAATGTTGTCTTCTCATGCTTGAAGTATACATTTTGCACACCACATGTTTGGTCTTTTGGTTGGAATTTGTTTATAATAAATAAGAATGAAGTTTTGTTTATTTATATGAAGTTACCAACATGTAGGGTTTATTGCATAACAAAAATAGGTTATCAGATCAAATTGGGAGAACCCTTGACAAGCTGACAGCTTCCTGTCCCTGTCTAGAGCTAGTGAATGGTGGCCCCTCGAGTAAATCGGGTAAAGTTAAACGTGACTGCATCAGGGCAGGGAGTAACAGAGTATCTTGCAGGAGGGAGTTTATTATAACAAATATTTTTAAACGTTCCACTTTTTTTTTATGTTCATCCCTGTGGCTTTTGTAAATGGTACTTTCTTTGCACTTGACTAGTTTTGTTATTTTTTTCTAATATTTTAACTAATTTCTGTTCTCAACAGGCTGGCTGCTGGGCTGGAAATCTAATGATGAAACATGCTCATAATAAGTTCCAGTCAGATATCTTCCTCACATTACTTGCAGCTGATGCTGAACTAACAATTGGCAATTCCAAGGATGCCTCCATCACTCACATGGACTTAGAACAGTTTCTTAAAACGGATATGTCAAGGAGTGTTATAATATCCATCTCGCTGCCTCCTGCAACCACAAACACTAAGGTGAAGGATGAATCAAATATATTCATATCTTTTGATGCCATTTTTAAAACTTCTTATTGCTTATTTTTAGTGGGTTTTAGAATAAATCTTTAGTGTTTTCTAACAAATTTCCTTAAGATGTACCTTGCACTAGGTATTCTGAACTAGCACTGTATCCTACTTATATTTCAGCTGCGCACATTCAAGATCACCCCACGTGCAGTGAATGCCCATGCATATGTCAATGCCTGTTTCAAGATGGAATTGGATCCTGCTGATGGTTTCAGGGTCACAAAGAAACCCACAATATTACTTGGGGGAATTAATCCACAGTTTGTAAGTTTCTACATCTTTATTCTCGTGACAAGACTTGAGTAAACGTGCTTCTGCTATATTACTTTGGATCCAATCAAATTTCTTATTATAGTCATAATACTGTGTGGTGGTAATTTTTCTCTAAATCATTTTCTTGTTAATTACTTTCTTTTACTTCAAATTCCAAAAGGAAATTATTGTTTAAAAATAAACTAGAATTTTAATGCCCCATAATCAGATTAGATATTTGCCTTCAACCATTCCCTTGTCCAGACCATCCATAATCGTACACATGTTCCCCCCCTAGATTTAAAATAGACTTTCACAATGTAAATATAGGTACAGTATATAATAGCACAAATGTGATGGGAAAGTGCTTTCCCAGTTAAAATCTAAATCATATTTTACTAAAAAAATTTGCCAGATACATGCTACAAAGACAGAGGAATACTTAAACAACCGCAAGCTGACTGATGCTCAAACTGTTGTGGAAGCTGCAAATATCCTGGGGAGCGAAGTGGTTCCAGACAGCCATCCCCAAGATTCCTCTCCAGAGTATCGCAAATCTCTGTCACAGTCACTTCTTTACAAGGTCAGTCCCAGTAATCAAATACTGTATGGTGGAGGAAATGGCAAAATGCATAAATTTTATTTAATACACTTCAGTATTTAAATTGAACCAGGAGCAAAATTATGTATTGATGCTCCAATGTCATAACATGGTAATTTTTGTTAATTGAATTCACACATTTACACTTCCTATACTAGTTTTTAACATTTTGCTATTAATTATAATGTTTGCCTTCAGCAAGATTGCATTAAAATGGCACAGACATGCAAATATTCATGAAATTTATATTTTGAACCTTATCTTGATGTATCATCTCAGTGTTTTAACACGAGGCTAATGACAGTAGAACAGTGCCGACATATAGTAACAGTGAAATGTCAATATTGCAAGTCACTTCAATTCCTCTGTTTTTCAATCAATCCAACATTTAAATGGAACATTTCAACATTTATTTTGGAAGTGGGTGCAATAGGTCTTGGACAAATACAGCTCGATAGATTCAGTAGATGAGCTTGCTATTGTCATTGCATTGAGACTGTTTATAGTACTTGTATCTCCAAGAGACTCATTTTTTGCCCATGAGTATGAATGCTGCCAACAGAATTTTCTTACACACAGAGTGTTGAATGCAATGCTTTTGGCATGTGATTAGCTGCTCCAATTACAACAGCCTGGGTTTTTTTTCCTGTAATTTTAAGATTTTAAGTTGCCTGCAGAAACTGAGAAATGTTAGTTGAAGATTTTCAAGGAGCAAATTGTCTACATAGTTGAAACAAGAATTAGGGAAGGTGAATAGATCTGTTCCCCATTTAAAGAAGTTGGCACATTTTTTTTACCCTTTATATAACTGGAACAACTAAATTAAAAATGTTAAAACTTTTTTATAGGATTGCAGAGTTCTTGTATTATTTAAAGACTGACAAATTTACCTGTTATTTAGTTTTAAATATTTCTTTGTAAATAAAACTATTGCATAATTAATTTTGAAAATTTCCTACATAATGTGTACTTGACTATGTTTTTATTAGGGTATTAATACCCTCAAAAGGGTAGTAATGCGATTGTAGTACAAATTACCAAGTAGAACGTCTTGGATATAAATTCACTGGACAATTTAGCAATGGTTGGACAAATAGGGGTTAGGTATAAAACCATAGTTGCTTTGTGTGCCCCAGTAGGCTTTCTGTTGTTACCTCTCATGTGATGTAGATGACTTTTGAAGTTATGAATAAATTGGCAGTATTTATAAATCTCTTTTGTTGCATCTTATTCTTTCAGACAATTGTTGGGTTTTTGGGTGACAAAGTGAGTTCCAAGTTCCAGAGTGCTGCACCAAACCTTGTAAGGCCTTTGTCTTCTGGCCAACAGAGTTTTGACATGAACCAAAAAACTTGGCCTGTTGGTGAACCTGTTCCCAAACTTGAATCTGCCACACAAATATCGGGTATGAGATTTGATGCTTGATGTCAAATTCCAATTGCCGTTGGGTCTTGATAAGCCAAGGATTGATATATACTGGTAGTGGGTCTTGTTACTACTAAAAGGCTTTATTATTTTGCTCATAACTTTTATTAATTATATTTGCTTTAAATTTAAATTTTCTTTTATGAAAGTTGTTTGATAAAATAAAAAAAAATAGCATAAATATATTTAATGTGTAAACACAAGGTTCATAAGTTAACGAGGGAATCTAGTGTTTCTTGTAGAGTAAACATTTCACGTGCACATACTGTATTGGCATTATTCTCTGATGATAATACTTTATTTTTATCAATTTGCACGCTAAATGTAACAAATGTACTCGGTGTAAAAGTAACTCTTATTTTAATACAGTAATTATTTTCTCTAAGATTGTATGATACTATGGGCTTCATTTTTGTTTCTATTCTCATTTCTTTGCATTTGTTTGGGTTAAACTCTAGTAGCCATTTGTTGGACCAATTATCTTGGAGGGAGTTCATAGGGATGAAGTGGAAGATCAATGTAAAGTAGTGGCAATAAATTTTTATTTTCTTGTGAGAGTAAACAGGGCTTTTGCATGATGTGTATATACAGTAATAATTTTCAGGAGAAGCAACATATTTAGATGATGTTCCATACCTGCCTAATGAGCTACATGGTGCTTTTGTCCATACAACGGTAGCCAATGCAAAGATAAAGTCCGTTGATACTACAGAAGCATTGGTAAGTGAACTATGACGAAATACTTTTAATGTACAGTACTCCATATTGTAAGGACACAAACTTCTAAACCATAATCTAGAATACAGATTAACAAAACCCGTCCTTTCTTATTACAGCACAGTGTATATGATTATATACATCTCTCTCTCGCTCTCTCTCTCTCTCAATAAGACGCGTAACCATAACTCGATAAGACACCAATATGTAATAATTAATGATAACCTCTCCCACTCTCCCATTAACCACAAGACTGCCATGTGGCTTCATTTTGGGACATAAATTTCATTTACAGTATACATAAATGACTAAGGAAATTTTTCAAACCTACTTTATTTGATGGTGGTGGTGATCTTTTCTAGCCACAACCCACACCCTAAATCATTTTGTAAATGGAGTTAAAAATAGAAGTTCACTCGTGTAAACCAATGAACTCTCACTAACCATGGAAAAGACCTACATTTTATTTGAAAACAAATCTAGTTACATAGACTTTTGAGTAGACAATGTAAAGACTGAGAGTGAAAGTGAAGGAAAATTCCTATATCTGTATGCAAAAAAGGTACTTGATTTCAATACCCACATACAGCACATTGCAAAAAAGTCTAACAGTTGGCATACTTTAAAAATTAAGATGTGATGTCCCTCACTCTTGTACTATATTACTCACTAATTTAGCTCTATCTAACTTATGACGTGTGAGAAAATCCATAGAAGCCATGATGAGGATTCGAACCCATGTGCTGGGTGTTCCCAGGCACACGCTCTAAAAAGTATTGTAGACCATGACAAGGCGTGTGCCCAGGAACCTGTAGTGCATAGGTTTGAGTCCTTCTCATGGCTTGGTTTGAATTCCTCACTGATGCAGTCACGCTTGTGTGATTACTGTGCGTTATAATGCATGCATGGGCTCGAACAATGCAAACTACCTCAATGGATTTTTTGCTAGTCAAGATTTCAGAACTATAAACAAAATTGGTCTTCAGAAAACATACAGCCCCTCTGTTTAAATCTCCAAACATGTTTAACATTCACACTCCATATATTCTCTTGTGCTGTTTACACTTAAGAAGCTTTGTTCCTTGATATAAACCCTGACATGAAACTTTTTTCTAGTTGGATGTAATGGAACACACGAACATTACACTAGAAGTAAATCTTAGATATTCCCAGTCTAAATCTTTCCAGACATGCTATGCAAATAAAGGGACCCAGTATATGTAACTTCCTTCCTAGTAAAGTAAAAAAAAAATTGTTACACCATATACTTTATTCAAAAGTAAAACAATGAAAAACCTAATTTCATTACCATAGTATTCCACTTGGTGCTACCAACTTCCCTAGCACAAGACCTTCTTTATAGTAGGAAAACTTGTCACTCTTCCTCCTAATCAACACCCAGTGTACATAAAAAAAAAATTGTGTGATTTAATGAATCACGATTTACATATATTCTTGATCCTCAGAAGGTGGATGGTGTTGTGACATTTGTAACTGCATCAGATATCCCAGGCAAGAACAGCTTCATTGTTGGTGCTGGAGCTTATCCAGACCCTGTAAGTATGACTTTGTAAAGTCTTTGTAAAATCTATACATACCGTGTATAAATTAGATACCGTTAAGTGATGGAATAATTCATGTGTATTATTCCAAAATATTGATGAAATGTAAGGATGAAACAAAACATTTCATTTCAGATTTTTGTGGAAGGCAGAGTTAAATATGCTGGTCAGCCCATAGGTCTGATGGTGGCTAAGGATAGGGACACTGCATATCGTGCAGCTAAACTTGTCATAGTTGAGTATGAAGATGTGAAGAAGCCCATCCTGACAATCAAAGAAGCTCTGAAGGCAGGCAGACATCATATGGCTATGAATATATTTCTTGGCAAAAGTGAACCTTTTACGTTTGGAGATGCAGAAGGTTTGCAATATTGTAATTGTTGTACTGTACTGGTGTAATTGCTGTACTGTAAAATATAGGCCAGTTTAATTGCAATTTCTGAGCTCTTGTATTAGTTTGGTCTCCCCTGCAAGATTCCACTGTGTCCTTGGACATCAGACCTTCCAGTCATGTAAGAGCAATATGTTGCAGAACAAATCATGCCTTGGCAGAGTGAATGACTTTTTCATGAGTATCGCTTGCTTTCCTTTTCCAGTTGTCTTTCTTTATGTACAAGAAGGTACAAAGAGTTGTGATAGTACCACTGATAGTTGATAGTTTTTGTACCACAATCGCCACATTAATGATTGATACAAAAAAAAAACCTTGTTTGCAAACAAACTTTCTAAAATGGTAGATGTTTGGAACAAATTGAAAAGGTGGTGGATGCCAAAACTGTCGGTAGTTTGTGTCGTATGAGAGTACCGGGAAGGTGAGACATTGCAAGCGTAGCACTATTCCTGTAACTACACTTGGGTAATTACAGCCAAAAGCACAGAAGACAGCCACCTCAAGAAAGTGAAGAAACAAAAAAAAAAAAGGGAGGTAGACAGAAGGGGAAGGGACCAAGCCAAAACTAAAGCAAGGGCAGGCAGTGCTTGCAAGCATGTGAGCAGAGCTGCAAAAAGAAGTCCACAACCACCTGCTAAGAAGTGGAGCGAGTAACTTGGGCACAGCCTCCTCGGCTTGTATCATGGCAACATGGCCACAATACCAGCATTAAAAGCCAAAACATCCATGCAACCCTAGGATTGGGCAGAGAAATGCTCAACCACAGCTGTGAAGCAACAATGGAAGCAAAGTGTACAAAAGTACTTGTGAACCGTCACAACTGGGGCTTTGGAAAGCAAAAGTAAACATAAATAAAGTACACTTTAGCATTAGCTTAAATTTTTGTATTTTAACTATGACTGAAATGTATTATTGCTTTAAATTTAACCTAAATGTTATCAATATTTACTGAAGTACTGAGCATATTTAGAGGACTCATAAAATTGTTTGATTCTACGTTTTCAGAAGCAATGAAGACGGCTAAACACACACTAACAGGAGAGATGTCTCAGGGCACTCAGTTTCATTTTAACATGGAGGCTCATGCTGGTCGGGTTGTGCCAACAGAAGATGGATATAATGTGTTCAGTACATCTCAGTGGCCAACAGAAACACAGGCAACTGCGGCTCAGGCACTGGGCATATCGACCAATAGGTATGGAACCTGATCATTGAAGGTGTGCTTCTCTTGCTGTATCACTTGAAAGTTTAACTTGGATGTTCTTTCAGATGTTTTCTCCTTGGCTGAGCACAAGTAAATTGTGTGTATCGTCCTGGACTATTCTCAAGTCGATTGTGAATTAATTATTATTAACTGTTATTTAAAAGCATTTTCAAATCACACAATTAAAATTATGAATGAATTAAATTCGAAATTATAAATTAAATTATGCTAAAAAAAATCCCCTGTGATAAAATGTATGTACTCTTTAAATAGCTAGTAAAACACTTTTAATTACAGTACACTATACAGTACTGTAATTATATAAATTGCCTTGTGCAAGGAAGGGAGGGGGGGGGGGGGAATCCAGCATTGAATGTATGAAAAGTCCCACAAATGAAAGATCATTTGTTTTCTCATAAATTTTTCTTTATTGTACATAGTAGTGCTAGTTTTATCGACTTGTTCATTGCATTTGGCGCACAGTATGAAAGCCAACAATAAAGCTTTTTCTTTTCTTAGTCTAACACATTATAATCCTCTGCCTCCCTCCCTCACATCACTCTCCCTGTAAAATTTTCTGGACATTTCCCTAATGTATCCTTTTTTTATTTCCAACAAATATTTTAGCATCAATGTGTCTGTGCGTCGAATTGGTGGTGGTTACGGATCCAAGATTAGCCGTCAGCATATAGTTTCGACAGCAGCAGCAGTTGCAGCCAGAAAACTGAAACAGCCAGTGCGTGTTGTGATGGACCTCACTGCTAATATGACTTATGCAGGCTGGAGAGAACCCTATTACTCAAAGTATGAGGCAAGTATAATTTGTCCCATACTTAGTGAATTTTTAACACTATACATGCTGTGCAAGATGGATTTTTACAAACACTACTAAGTAGTCATGCAACCAGTGTGATGGAAAATCCAGAGAGGGGCACCTCAACCAATACTCATCTTGGGAATTGGCCTGTCTTTGGCATATTTAACACCTCGAGGCTTTCCTTGTAATACTTGCTTTTTAGGTCTTGAAGCAATTTCATAGCATGTCTTTGTATCCTTTCCAGTTTATTAATGTGCTTCTTGAGATATGGGCATCATATGGGCTGCATATTCCAAAGTTGGTTTCACAAAAGTCATGAACAATTTCTGTAGTATTTTACCATCCATGTATTTGAAAGCAAATCTTAAGTTAGAAAGCATAGCATATGTTCTATGCACAATGTCCTTCATATAGCGAGTCTACCATTCAGAACTACTTACAGATTTCTTTGTCAAAGTTCTTTAATGCCTTTCCATATAATTAGAAGCTTGTATGTGGCCTATTTTCTCCTAATCCACAATCTATAGTGGCTAGCTCGGAAAGTTTTTTTTGTCTTCTCTAGTTGCGTGTTCATATAGTTCTGTATTCCTTCTGGGAGATTGTTTATATAGATGAACATTACTGGTGCAAGAACTAAACCCTCTAGTACTACTCTAGTGACTCTTCTCCTGTTTGATAAAGGGTCTCGGTAGTAGGGTTGGGTTTTTTCTTGACTCTGTTGGGAATCCTGGGTTCAAATCCTTGGCAGGACAGAAATGGTTGGGCACACTTCCTATCACCTAATGGCTCTTTTCACCTGGCAGTAAATAGGTACCTGGGAGTTTGCTAGCTTGTTGTGGGGGTTGAATCCTTGGTAGGGTCAGTAATTTGATCTTAGAGGGAACCTTGATTTAAGCTGAATGTGTGTGTGTGTGTATATATATATGTATACATGTGTGTATGTATATATATATATATGTGTGTGTGTATATATATATGTATAATGTGTATATATATTGTCAGAAGTCTGCTTGTCACCCCTCCAGCCTATAACAATTTCTGAACAACCTCTTGTGTGGGACTGTCAAAAGCTGTCTTTAAGTCCAGATAAATAAGTCAACTGTCCCATCTCTTTCTTGTAATATCTGTGGCTCTGTAATAAAAACTAAGTAGATTGTTACACTGGGTCTTTGTTCGAAAGCCATACTCTGTTATTGCGTACATTCTTGGCCTCCAATAGTGCTTAGTGGGTGGTGAAGCAGAGAGGCATGGGTTGGTGAGAGATTTGTGACAAAGGATGGGTAGGTTGGGACTGGGTGGGAGGGTGAATTTGGATGGATGAATAAAGAGTTTGGAATTATAAGAGGAGGGACAAGCGAGGTGAGGTTTGAGATTCCATTTATCATGTGGGTCAAAGCCTTTCCTGTTGTCTGTCCTGTATTGTAGCTTTTAAGCTTGAAGCTTTTGCCTCTTGTGGGATTTACATTTGACCTAAAGTGGTGGGCTTTGAGTTTGTTCAGTATTTTAAAGGTCTCGGTGATATCGGCCCTGCCATGTCTGGTTTGTTAGTCCCGAGGCCCTTGACCTGTTCTAGTACGGTATTAGTCGATTTGTTTCTGGAATGATTTTTATTGCTCTGCTGAATATTTTCCTAAGGAGTTTTATCCTTTTCAAGGTCAGGTTTTCATGCTTGAATATAGTAGTCCAGATGGAAGTGTACCAGGGATTGTACAACCTAATAAGTACTGGTAACAAAAGTAAAAATGTACTTCACTGTACCTGTGTGTGGTGCTACTGACCACATGCAGGTCACTACAGGAAGCTACTGGACTTGGCACTTTCTTTTGATAATTATTTGTACTGTATGTTAGATTTTTGGATTTAAATTACAAATGTTTATTAAACTGTCACAAACTGATGTGAGCTTGAGAACTATCTTATTTCCTAATACAAACTAAATGATATAAACAATGCATTTTTATAGGTTGGCTTTGATGATAAGGGGAAAATTGAAGCTCTGAAGATTGAATTATATGGTGATGCTGGCCATATCTCCAATGAATCTGCTGTAGGGTTCTTATTTGCTGCCATCCAGAATTCCTACTATATTCCCAATTTCAATTTTACACCTGCCAATGTGAATACTGATACTGCTGCCAATACTTACTGCAGGACACCTGGTGAGTGAGATTTTGTTGCTGTGAAGATTTAAAACTTAATATTTAATGATGCATGTTGGCAAAATACTGTACTTGTTCTGAACTCTCCTGCTTTGTTGTTTCATAAGGCAAGATCTACTATGTAAGTGATTGAGACAATGAAGACTACTCAGTGCTGGCTGGAATGACCTGTAGAATGTAAATTTTTCAAAATTTTCAATTTCTTTGTCGGGGAGCCATTAAGCCACAGCCAGATAATTGTTGTGGGGCTTTTAATTTTGCCTTATTGTTTTACCTATTTCTAATCCCTTTGTGGCTATGGCCTCAGTTTGGTTAAGGACAGATTCCTGGTCCTTTGCTTTGCAAGAGCTTTCAGTTACTTTGTGAAAGATGGCCATCTCCATCTTGTTTTTGTCATCAATATGTTGTGCTAAGCTATACCCTTGTACTCAAAGAATGAGTAGATGGCTGGGCCCCATGCAGTTGACTTCCCTGGGTCTGCAATTCTCATTCTCTTCTGCTCTTCTGGGTTTTGTGGCATAGGAAAGTGGTCCCTTCTGTATTTTATTCTTCCTTTGTTTTCTCAAGGCAGATGTGGCTATTCTTGCATATATGGAATGATGACTCTCCTTTCTGAATTGGTCATTCAGTCACTCCTATGCCCTCTTTGACACTGCTTACCCTGTACTTAATTCAGGGGGTGGCAAGGGATTGAAATAGAGGCGAGAACAATGGCTGCATCAATACATGGCTGGTTCTACCACCTGGTATCAGGGGTTGGTGACAGAGCAGTCAGTTAGTTTCTTATAGCAGAGAATTACCTGGCAGTCTTTTATGTTGGTTATTACAGCAAAGAAGTTTTGACATTTGAGTGTAGTGAAATGATCTTCAAATCTCTCTTGTTTAACTACAGATGGTGGGGGCGTTTAAAAAAAACAAAAAACAATGTTGAACCAGACTTGAGAAAAGGTTGTATTGACCCAGACTGGTTTTTGCTATCCTAGGAAGGGAGCAGGTGTTTGCCTAAGGAAGTGATGGAGTAACCAGCTCAGAAAGGAACATTTCATTTTCATTAAGTTCCTTGTTTTTTCTTAATAGGCCATGTGGAGGCTGTTGCTACAATAGAAAACATCATGGAGCATATAGCAAATTATTTAAAGCTTGACAAGTTGGAAGTGCGACTTATTAACATGGTCCCGCCTCAAGTCCCTCGCATGAAAATTCCACCACACGAGAGGAATGTTGTAAAGGAAGATATTCTTCCATTGCTGATGAAGAAGGCTTCAGTCGTGCAGCGGCAACAGGAGGTGGATACATTTAACATGGTGAGATATGAAGGTTGTATACAGAATTGATTGCTTCTCACTACCTTCTGGGATTCATACATACATACTAAATGTGTAAATTGTATCACAAAAAGCACAATGTGTAAATAAGGATGGACAAACTATAATAAACCAAATAAGCAAATTTTTCTTCTACGTTAATTATGGCATTTTACTATATTTAGGAAGGTAGCAAATGTTTTATTTTTGTTGTAATGACAACATGTGTAAATGTGTTTGGGTATGCAGTTGCTCTGTTATTGCCTAGACCCTCCACATGGGCAGCTATGTAAAAGCTTGAGATGTAAGAGGATTGTGCTTTTCAGTTGAATGTCTAAAATCCTTGAGGATGATGCTAAATATATTATTACATAGGCTTAGAGCATATAACATGTTCTGATATCAATGGTTTCACACATTGGAAATATTGTTAAACTAGCAGTTAAATTGATTTGATATTACTAATAGGAAATAATCCCTTGATGGTTAACTACAATTTAAGAAAGTTCTTTTACATTATTTCATGGCTACAGCAGTGTATTTGAAGTAATGAAACTTTGCATGTATTATGACAAAAAATTGAGCCTTTGCAGGCGATGAGTCACAATAACGTGGCTGACGTATGTTGACCAGACCACACACTAGAAGTTGAAGGGACGATGACATTTCGGTCCGTCCTGGACCATTCTCAAGTCGATTGTCGATTGACAATCGACTTGAGAATGGTCCAGGACGGACCGAAACGTCGTCGTCCCTTCAACTTCTAGTGTGTGGTCTGGTCAACAAATTGAGCCTTTGTTCAGTGTACTAACGAGTACTACCATAATAAAACTGAATACCTCTATGTACCAGAGTTATTACAATTGGCAATGCACATGGCTTAGTTTACCATTGTCGGACAGGAAGCCTTCTAGGCTTATTGAGGTTCCCTCCTCCCTCCTCTCTAGGCCAATCACCGACGCTCGCCAGGATGCAACCTACAACAGTTGCCTAAATCAAAGGGACCTATTTACTGCTTGCCTAAGTGTATGTCCTAATTCAGAGTACAGCATTTTAAATGCAGTTCAGTATTACTGATAATGGAAATTCTGCCATTGGATTGTCCTCGCCTCAAAATTGACTGCCAGAATATGAACAAGTTATAATCATGTAACATCAAAGTTTTTATGCCAGTTAGTTAAATTTTTATGTATGCAAGAAGATTGTTGAAGATTAATGTTGACAAAAAAGTAAAACCCAGTGTGCAAAATAACGAGACGAACAGAACTTCTAGAAGTGGTTAATCAATTTAACTACCTGGGTTCTGTAATTGAGCAGAAGAGTTTCTCTAACAATGTGAAACCTTCAGTGGAAAATCCTATTGGTGGCTAATGCCTAGTATTTTATACTAGATGCAATTTAAATAACTGATAGAAGCATACTTTTTAAAGGCATACATGAAAGGCCTGATTTTCTAATAACATATAACTGATTTAACAATATGCATTATTTAATACAGAACAACAGATGGAAGAAACGAGGACTGTCTGTTCTTCCATTGTGGTATGGGTTTGACTACCCATCAATGTTCCGCTACGGTATGCAAGTCACCATTTATGAACATGATGGTACAGTAGCCATCTCTCATGGAGGGATTGAAATGGGACAAGGAATTAACACAAAGGTACAGTAATTGCTTTTTAATAAAAATCATTAGAATACAGTACAGTATCTTCAAAAATTTGTATTACTTTCAATATTGTCCTCTTAATAAATGAATGGCCTGTTAGAATGTGTATTTTAATCTGCAAAGCTCACAATATAAAGAAAAATTTGTATACACTAGGAAATTGAAATAGACGCGTGTATTTTATTGTGAAATGTTCCTTGAAGGTGGCTCAAGTTGCAGCGTACGTCCTGGGCATACCTCTGGAGCAGGTTGTGATCAAAGCCTCCGATACAATGGTGGGGGCCAACTCCATAGTGACTGGGGGCTCCTTTGGATCAGATCTCTGTGCTCATGTAAGTAAAAGTATAATTGACTGTCTGTGTGATAATTAAGGAAAGGAGGGTTCACATATTGTACTACATACACACTAAACTACGGGGATTTGCACAACCTTTGCTGAATTTCTACTTTGGTTCTCTCCAAGTATTTAATGCACTAATAATTTTTTCACTAACTTAACCCCAACTTAATTGCTTTGTACAGTTCTTTGCTCATTTTATTGTACTGTCTCCAGACTCATAAAGGTTGTGCAAATCTCGGCCTTCACCATTTTCTCTTTCATGGGTTTTGTAACAATTTTGCTGTGAACACAATAGTGTAACTAAAAAAAAAAAAAAAAAGTAACTCTCCCACAACCATACTTGTTCTTTCCCTATAACTTGAAATTACAGGCTGCAGGCTATATCTTTGGTGTACCATATCTCCTATAATCTTTAAATTGTGTAAATGTTTGTCTCAAATTCTATACTTTGAAGAAAAGAATAAAAAAAATTAATGTCTGCATAAATTTTGGGGCTTTATTTCTTTTAAAGGTGACGCTGCTCTAATATGGGTTGTAATTTGAAGTAATTGCTGCTTGCTTCTATCCACTCTACACTAAAATATACTCTTAGAGCTACTGTATAATATATTGTTGCTACATAATATAACCATGTAAGCTTACCTTACCCCTAAATGTCAACCCATGTCTTGCTATTTTCAAACAATACTGTTTGATGACTAGGCATTGTATGTACTAGCTCTATCTATAAATCCAACTTTGTTTGTAACTTGCCTTGCATGTAAAGGTATGTTACTTTTACCTGAATAAACATTTGATTTGACTTTAATATTGAGAGAATGAGTATAGCATACTCATTTACATAAATTTGAATTAAAGGCATACATAAAAGGCATATTTTACTAGTAACATTTTAAATTTACTATCTCCATCCATTAATTTTCAGGGTGTGAAAATTGCCAGTACAGCCCTTCGTCAGCGTATGGATGTCATAAAGGAAAAAATGAAATCAGAGACAGGAAAAGATCCGTCTTGGCTGGAGCTGGTTAAAAAGTGTCACGCTGAAGATGTGGACCTGTCAGAGCGTTACTGGTGAGATTGAGCAAGTTGAATTGATTGGTTGTGGCATGGTTAAAAAATTTAGAAGTTTTTTTATTTATATATTTTATTTTTTACTCCTCTGTTAGCAGGTTGTGAACTTTCCATCCTATAACTCTTGATAAGCCTTTCAGAGTTCCTCTACCCAGTAAAAAGACAAATATTCACTTATTTTAATTTTTTCCTTGCATTTTGCATACAAATTTAATAAATCTACAATGAAGAAAAATATTTAATTTTATTTTTTGCACATAGGCAGGAATGACTATTTTGCTATGGCCGGTGAAGTAGGGTTAAGACCTGTGCTACGATTTTCCATGTAAATATCCATTGTGAAATGTTTGAACATGTATCAGTGTGCTAGAGGTAGATGCATAATTTGTAACCATATTCATAAACAGGACTGCTGGCAAGGAGCACCCAAAGCGTTATGACATCTGGGCCGCTTGCTGTCTTGAGGTTGAAGTTGATGTTCTGACTGGAGTATACATGGTAAGACCTATAATGAAGTTTTTTCACCTGCTATTGCTTGAACAAAATGTAATCATTTCAAAATACATGTACTGTAGTCATAACGGTACTGTATTGTTAATACAGTAGCCTAATAAATTTGGCACATTTATCTGAGGGCCACTAACACCTTTTGCGAGAACACACTAACTTCTCCCTTTGCGAGAACAGGATGCTGGTGGCTAGTTGAAGGTCCCTCCATTTGCCTTGGTAATCTATTCCAGTTGGATTTTGAAATTAGTCTTGGTATTTATGGCTTCAGTGGGTAGGTGGTTCCAAGAGTTTATTTCATATATTTAAGAGTTTATAAGAGTTTTCACTGTGGGTGAAAAAGCCTCTTGTTCTCAGTCCTACATTTTAGCTTGTCTAGCTTGAAACTGTTGTTCCTTGTTTTTATGTTTGACCTTTTTGAAGAAATTTTTGAAGAAAGTGTTAAAAGTTTCAATAAGATCTGGCCTCTCATTCCTGGTTTGCAGTGTTGTTAGCCCTGTGGCCCTCAACCGATCCTGATACAAGAGATAACTTTGCTCTGGAATGATTTTTGTTGCCAGGTGTTGCACTTTCTCCAGAGCAGCTATGTCCTTCTGAAGATGATCTCCAAACTTGGATACAGTAATCTAAATGGGGGCTGCACCAGATATTTATAAAATTCAATCACTGCTTGATACCTGCACTACCTTCCTTTTCTTAACATCAAAGGTAGGCTTGATTATTCCAAGGGTTTGGTTAGCTTTTTGTAACTGCTGCTCCTACCTTCTGTGCAACTTTGTGAGTAGTGGATTTTGACTCAAAGGTCTTTTTCTTCATCAATCTGCTGTAATGGAAGGTTATTAATTTGGTAGTGGTGGCATGGGTTGTTATTCTCCACATGCAAGGTATTGCATTTGTCAATATTAAAAAGCATTTGCCAATCTTCTAACCATTTGTGGAGTTCATGTAGGGCTTCAATATCATCATTATTTCCAACTTTACCATATATCTTTGTGTCGTCTGCAAATTTGATGTGGTTAATTATATTCCCATCTGTCATTTGATATAAATGACAAAAAGGGTTAGGCCAAAAATGAACCCGAGTACCTCACTTGCCACATTTCTCCAGTCAGATTCGAGCCCATTTAGTAGGACCCTTTTTCTTTGTTTCAACCAGTGTTTTATCCATTCTAATATTGTACCATTTAATGCATGAGCCTGTAATTTCCTTGCCAGTCTTTCATGTGATACCTTGTCAAAGGGTTTTGATAAGGTACCTTATCAAATGCAGCTCTTAGCCACGACCCTCCTTTCCTGCCATTCTTCTCCCATGGATCGCCCAAGCCACTTTTCCTGTTTTCCAGAACATCTGATCTTCCCTGTTTCTAGTGGCCCCAGTAGTTTCCCATTCTCTTCTGTTTCCTGGGATTGTGGGTTTTTGCACAGGTGGTCCCTGCTTGATGGGACATACTGGTTAAGACCCCAAATAATGTGAACTGCCATCTGGAGATGATCAAGCAAATCATGGTTAGGATATTTACCCAATGGCAAAAGTTTTCATGTATCCGTAGGGGTGCCTAATTCACCATTCACTTATTGTCATACCTGTTTCTTGGTGGGCTGTTTGTCAATTTTGTGGTTCATCTCTGATCCCCCTGCTCTACTTTACTCATCTCGTGGAGTGAGCCAAAAGGCAAGTAAAGTGTCTTTTGGTCCTGGCTACAGGTAGATGATGATAGGTTTTGCAGGCCTGGTGTGTTTTGCCAAGGCTACTGGGGGCCAACCACAGAAGCAGATAATTATAGTACTATATACAAAAAAGTTTTATTTTTCTTTGTATTGATTTAGGCATTTCTTATTAGAAAAGCAAATATTTACCATTAAGCATTATTACACATTTATTTAAGTTTGTTACCATTAAAAGTTATTCCTGTTTGTTTTTTTACATAAACTACATTAGGTGATATTTTAATTTTGCAGAAATTATGGTGTATTTTGTTCTTTGGTGTTAAATAAGTCACCTGTCATTGCCCATATACTGAATACAGTACAGAACTTGTGTTCACTCCACCTTAATGTGGATTATGGCGGCCCAAGTGTGCTGCTACGGCTTCCTAGTTGTTAACCCAAGAGCCTGCCAATGGTGGGATCTGGACAATGGGGGATAACACTGTACTCTTGTACTGTGAAACCTCTAACATATCCAGTGTTTATATTTTATATGGACATTTTATATTTTTATTACTGCATTTTCATCTTCAGATTAGACGTGCTGATCTGATAGAAGACAGTGGCCGAAGCATGAGCCCCTACGTTGACATTGGGCAGGTAGAGGGTGCCTTCATCATGGGCCTTGGGTTGTATACTTCAGAGATGGTAAAGTTTGATCCACAGACAGGCCAGAAACTCTCAAATGGTACATGGGTGAGTATTAAGCATTTGCATATACAGTATATAGCCACTGTATGTAGGCATTACAGTAATTGTTGAAGTTGATAGGCCTGGTGAAGTCTAGAAATTCAACTAGGCAAGTATTTTATGTTGATTTAAATTTTTTTGTATTGCTTATATGGCATGTATGTCGGTTAATAATATTGTACAATATTAAAGTAAAATGATATGTATAGCCATTGTTCATTGCCATTCTGTATATTTCTCACACTTTATTCATGTCATTACCTTCACACAAATTTTACTATATGAATAGTTATTGTTGATAATAGACCAGAGAACTGTATTAATAAAATAAATTTGTTTAGTGATACCCTCACAAGTCTAATTTGTATTAATATTTTGTAAAAATATAATTAAACATTTAATGAATAATTGTATCCACACAGGAATACAAGCCCCCAACAGCATTAGATATACCAGTAGACTTCAGAATTACACTTCTGCCTAATACAGAAAATCCATATGGTGTTCTTGGATCAAAGGGTATGTAAAATATATTTTTTATAGTCTAGATCATGCGAAGATATTTTTTATGGAAGACTTCTGTGGAATTCAGCTTTCTTTGTATTTTTTTTAGTGAGCAACACCGATTTTAGTATATGAAGCTAATGACACCATATATTTGATTATAAAATAACAGTGAGAATTAAGTTTTTAAATTGTTTGACCAATGTGGGTTCTGTGATTTAGTAAGAAATATAAGAATAAGAGGAGAAACACTAAAAAGCATACTGCTTACCTTGACGTCAAAGGTTTACGTGACTTCATAGGGTTTAGTTAGTTTTTTTATTTACTGCAACTTTCAGTGATTGGATTACAGGTATTATGTAAAGGTTATTTTCTCAACCAGTCTGAAGATACAAAGATAACAATGCACCTAAGAACTACCAAATCAACATTGTGATGTCCCACATTCAAGGTCTTGCCTTTTTCAATATTAAAAAGCATTTGCCAGTCTTTCCATTTGTGGAGATTAGATTTTCTGTAATGCCTCAATATCATTTTTGCCTCCCACTTTACCATAAATACCTGTATAGTACAGGGTTCTTTTGTCTATTTACTACAAAGTGCACATTTTGGTTTAAGTTAGATGGCCTTTGAGAAGCTATCCCATGATACTTGTGTACCTTTATCTCGTGTGATATTTTGCAATCTCTCAATTTCTCCTCAAAAGGAAAATTTGTAGCTCAATTTTGATTTTTAAGAATTATATTCCATCTTGGGATCAAAGGGGACTAGTTTGTAATAGGTCGAGAAAAGTAGTTAACAATTATAAATTGTGTAGAATACACAGAATGAATATAAAGATGAAATGGTGAAAAGTGTGGTCCTTCTGATGTTACAAATGCCTTGATTGCAGATCATTCTCTAGTATAGTTTCCAGTAAAGGATGTGAATGGTACAAACTGTGCGTGTACATGCACAATACTGGTTTACCAGACCTATACCTTGTATATCTATATAGATATTTGTAAGGTAATGGGTTTTCTTTTACTGTAACTTTAGTTTGATGTACATTGATTAGTGTTTGCACATCTGTCTTGCTTCAAAATTTTTAATCAAAAAGCATTACACAGTCTAATTATAAATATTTGCAGCTACTGGAGAGCCTCCATTGTGTCTTTCCTACGTCGTTGTCACTGCTCTGCGCCATGCCATTGAAAGTTTCCGTGCAGCAAATGGAGACACGTCATTTTTCCAAATGGGCAAGTATCAAAAAATTAGAATTACTGAAACTGTTAGATACAATTAAACAAGCTATTATTTTAGATACTGCATTTACTTTCAGATTAGCAAGAACTTATTTTTTTTATTTTGAATTGTAAAGCCTAAATTCAGTATCGGTTAAACACTAAACACCCCCCCCCACACACACACACACACAATAATGGCCCAGGAGGTTTTTCTAAAGTTTTGACGTGATGATCCAAAATACTAAAATCGTGTCTTTAACATTAAACCTACACTTTAAAAAAAATATACTGTAATGTCATAAACATATGTTGAATACATCTTCAGTGTATAGTGCTCTGTTACTGTTTATGAATAGATAACCAAGACGCATTCAATATTTATACTATTTTTATGTTCAACTTCGAGAGCGGTTTGACTGGATTAGTTCAAATACTGAATGAGCATTATTTTTAAAAAAGTACCATATTGGACAAAAGCACATTCAGAGCAAAATGAATTTAGACTGTTTTACATTAGGATTCTGTTTCTATACAGGACTAATAATATGAGCATTTAATTCAAAGCATGCCCAATTCAAATATTTGTATTGTCATATTATTAATACAGTATAAAGAAAAAGAAAACTATTGTTCTATACTCACAGTATTTTGTTCAGATTGGTAATTTTTCCAATGTTGTTCACATTTACAAATAGGTTTTATTTAATCTTAGCAAATGAACATAATTGCCATTGTATCTCATGGGCATTTAGAAAGCTAAATATGGGAAAACATGAATTACACACCTCATGGCTAGGACTAACTAACCACTGACAAATGCCAAACTAGAAAGCTTGGCAAGGATCAACTGACTGAGGGGGGGGATTAAAATAGTTACAGGAAAAAGATATTGGTTGGGAGTAAAAGGAATGAGAAATGCAGAGATGAGAGAAAAATCTTGTTTACCAAGAGGAAATTAAAGATATATAGGTTCAAAGTTTACTTGGTAGTTCCAGTCAAGTTAACAGCAATAACCAGGAGGCCCCCCACCCTCCCTATAAAAAGTACATGGAGCTGAAAGGTTGCCCACAATTAAGAAATCCAGAACAAGAGGAACTTTTGATGAACTTTAGCCCCCCCCCCCCCCCCTTTCCCCTATTGTCCAGGCTAGTTGGACATAAAGAACAAAGTTTTTTAAATGTACGACATGTACATTTTGGATTGTGGAATAATTTCCTCCCTCTTTTTCCTAATTAGGAAAACCAGTATGCTGTAGCATAGCTGACATCTTGGTATATTTGGAAGTTTAAATTCACAACACTATTTGTAGGATAAGTACAGTAATGCTAAAGGAAGGTGTCATGCCAGGGAAATATAATATTCTGTCACAGAATATTTGAAATTTCCTAGCATTATATCAGCCAGGGTGCCAGTACAAGAACAGATACAATAGATAAGTGATGTATATGAAAGGAAATGGATTCACTGTGGATTTTATCAAGGGACATATGAAAAGGAATACAGTGGAACAGCGGTTTTCAAATTGTTTGGTTCTCGAGCTCAATTTCTTCAAAAAAACTTGACTCGGTACTCTAAGTTTGCCTTGGTGATAGTTTCTTAATATACGTATGGACCGACCGAGCACATGGTGCACTTCAGTTTACCAGTGTCTCCCACATGGTGATGACCATGTTGGAATTCTTTGTGAAAAATGTCATTGTTTTTTTTTATGCTTTTTTTGGTTTCTGAACATAAGTTCTTATTATATATCACACCATGGGTTCTAAGAAAGTCAGTGGTGAAGTTCAACCTAAGAAAATAGTTGAGGATGACCATAGAGGAAAAGAGAGATTTGTAGTGAGATAATGTGATGTCTCACTACAGACAAGTGTTAAAATGTAGGGGAAAAAAGTGTCTATAGACATATTCTTAGTAAGACAAGCAAGCAGTGAGCCACAACCTAGTGGTATGCCTGCAAGATGCTTCTTGAGAGAGTACCCCAGAAATATAAAAAAAATGAAATGGGGAAAATTCATTTCGGTTTTCAAATTTTCAGTTTTTCGAATCGTCTTTGGGAACGGATTAAATTCGAAAACTGAGGTACCACTGTATACAGTAATTGTGTGTGATAAATACCTATCTTAGCCAGACACATTTCCCAACATCCTGTGTTGATGGCAAACAATAGATCACATTAGAGTACGTAATTTGTTCACAATAGCCAACCATCCATTTCTCGTAAGTGGTGGATTGCATTATGAATGATAAAGCAAATTTCTATCTCCAATTTCTACCCTACAAAATGAGACTAGCAAATGTCCTCTGTACCAGCACCCACAAGGTCATTACAAACACCACCAATATGACTAGGAACTAAAGTATAACCAGTTAAGATTCCAGGGGCATGAGAGCATCAAAGTTAATAAAGAAAAATTATCATTGATACATGAAATGTAACTTAGTCTATGTAAAATTGCATAAACCTCTGCAGTAAAAATTATCTTTGGGGAAAGATAGCACATAAAGGTTTTATTGGGAGAAATAACAGAGCAGTCAACTGGACAGATTTAGATCCATCCATAAATTTAGCAAGTGTGTGAATGGAAATTTTCAGGATAGTAGAGAAATAATACCATGCACTTTCAGTGATTGGTGTGTCAGTACTAGAATATTAATTCTTTAGGGAGGCCTGCTTCTTTTTATTGTTTGTAGATATGGATCATCCAAACCTAATAATTTTTAGAATGCTAAGAATGCAATGGTTTTCACATCACTGAAAATATACCTCATGTGTATATATATTTTAATAGGCTGCCCATTGATGTATATTGTGTAAATAGCTAATTTTTTTTTTTCCCCCAGATACTCCCATCACAGTAGAAAAAGTTCACCAATTGTGCGGCATAAACACATCACAGTTCCAGCTGTACGAGTGAACGATTCAAGACCGAAGCTTTTCAACACCAAGTTTACATAGCCATATTTATACTTGCAAGTAGATCTTGTTTACTAGTAGTACTAGTTTACTGTATTTAACATGGCTTATACCTCTAATTTAAATACAGTAGTTTTATCATGTGCAATTATTCATAATTTTTAGTTTAGGCATTAATAAGTAGGTAGAACAATCATGATGGGCCTCTGGTATATTTCTATCTGACTTAATTGCTGGCTGTCACATTAATATATATATAATTTTTTTTTTTGTTGCATTTCATGCTCATTTTGTTGTAATCCTGATACAAGAGATGACTAAGATCTAATATTATTTTTGTTGCCTGGTGTTGTACCTTCTCCAGAGCAGCTATGTCTTTCTGAAGATAAGGTCTCCCATGCCTGGATGCAGTAATCCAGGTGGGTGCACACCAGGACTGGTACAATTGAACAACAATTTTTTTTTTTCCCTTGAGGGTAAAAGGTACACTTGATTATTCCCAAGGTTTGGTTTGATATGATATACCCATGTACCCCAATTGTCATCAGTACAGATTATGTGAATTACATGAATTTCTTGTAATTGAATGTGAAAGTTTCTTTTAACCTTAACACAATGTTACTGGGAAGACTGAATTCTGATATTAATGGTAATACTTGCTTGCTTGGCAATAAATTTAATTAGCTGAATCAAAACTTGGAAACATGAATAGAAGTAGGCTTGGTACTTATTGGTATTGGTACACAAACTTTTTCAGATTTTGAGAGCCTTGGCTAAAATAGAATAACATTGCAGCATGAAATAAGAGGATTCTATATTACTGACACTTTGGTGGATGCCAAAACCATCAGTAATATTAACCTCTTAAATTATTCTTATGGAATAAAACTTTCCATTATGTTTTTTTTTTTATCGTTTGAGTCAAAACTAACATAGAAACTGAAGTCAGTAATTCATGTTCCTAATATATTAATAATGTTAGAAAAGAACTAATTTTGAAAGAAATATTTGAAAACGAAAATTGCTCTACCTGTTAGGCAAATGAGGCCATGCTTACTAGGCCAAGTAATGCAGGTCTGGCATATATATAATAAATATACAGTATATTATATATAAAATATACTGTATGTTTACTTGCTAGGCAATAAAAAAAATATAACAGTAGTTAAAGCTTTCTTTAAAATTGTCACATTCACAATTATAAACTCCAGTTATTTGTGCTTTGTCTCGAAGCATCTTCATTAGGCAACAGTAGAAACAATGGATTAGACCTATATGATAATGCTCTACAACACACTAGTTACAAAAATGTTCTTGTAAAAATGACCAAGTGTACATCTAAATTTTACCTAACACTGAACACAGTCATCCTATTAGCCTTTTGCCAATTCTTTTATGGGTAATGTGAACATTAAGTATATGAGCAGATAGAATAAACAGACAATATGTTTGTGCGGTAAGCACATGAAGTACTGTGTCCCTATAAATATTACTCGTCTTTCATCAGTCTGCCAACATAATTGTAGCAAATGTGAGACACTGTAATTAAATATAGGTAATATAACTTTAATATGCACCATCTTCCTTAGTTATTGAACAAAACTATATATGAATAAAAATTAATTTTTTAAAGCATTAAAAATTACATAAGAGCTAATTTACTTGCACTAAACAATTTCATTCTTACCAATTTGTTTGTATTTCTAAACAAAAAAAAGAGCACAATATAAACAATCATGACACACTAACTTTAGTGTGTGGTATGATGTAAGGACTGAGAAAAAGACCACAGTTATAAATCTTTTTGCCATTAGAAGAAAATGACATTAGCAATCATTTTTCAATGGGACTCGAATTGCCCATTAAATAAAATAAAATTAGGCAACTGCATTTGACTCATTCTCAGTGATTTCATAATACTACACAAGCCAATCAATATCGTTTCAAAAGCTCTACACTCCAAGGCTCGCCTATCAAGATTAATGTGGTCACCAAAAACTGTGAGGGAGGTTTCCTAAGGGCACACATGTGGAGGGAATAAACTCGTACATTTGCCCGCAAATGCCTTTTCCAACAAATTACTTGGAAACTACAGAATAATGATAGCTCAACTACTCTTGATAGGCTGGCTAGAGGGGTGACAAGAGCCGATGCATTATAAATGCATACTGCATATCTTTAAAGATCAGACTCAATTTTCTTACATCTTACATAATAAAAATTCAGTATTAAACATGTAAATGTGTTTTTTTCTTTTGCAGATAATAAACAAAAATGCAAAATAAGCTGTCAAATCTATTTTAAATAGTATACATATAAAGACAATTTTAATACTATTTTAAAATCCTCAAAAATCCAAACAGAGACTTTTAATAAATAAATTCAACAATACAAAACTATAGAACATTTTCAGTGTTAACTAAGTGAGGTACTTTAATATGTTTAATTTATCAAATTGAACTGCTGCTTCTACAAAATGTAATGCCACATTGTTACTCGGTCATAAGTCTAGACTGTCTAGACATAAGAAGTCTGCTACTGTATTAGCAATGTTTGTGAAGGCAAATATATGAAGAGCATTACTTGATTACACATGGTCATGATACAAGTTGACTTTGGTAACTCTGGACAGGATACCTTAGCACCCACACACACAAACAACATGCTTCACATTTATCCTCGCATGAAATTTTAATACCATTTACCTTGGAAAACATAACCAAATTCATTAAAGGAGAATTTAAGGCTGTCTGAAAATCCATCCTGAGGATAACTAAAATGATGTGCATTAGGTGTTAAGTCTTCGAGCTGTACTTCTCATACTGATTCAAATATGCATTTATGTTGTATTAAGTCAAAACCTCCAGAATGTATTCCATTTAGGATCAATCACTGAACAGCTAAATGGAAAACTAAAGAAAAATATTTACATTCTTCTAATAAAAATATTCTTTACTAAGAAAAAGAATCCAAAGAAAGAAAAAATTACCTTGTAAAATTGAAAACTATGTTGTCTAATCTACTTCAAATTATAAAAGCATATCAGAGTATGTCAATACACATTTAATAATGACTAACCACCTGGAATATACTACAATGCATAATAAAAGAAAGGTGAATCATTGTGAACACAGCTGACGAGTATCAATGGGTATGTTCTGAAAATAAAGTATCCATTAGAATTACATAATAGTTGATTACTCATCACTGCCATTGAGAGCACTTCCTATTTACTACATTGATAGATGTGAGCAAAGAGCTAGCACACAAGGCTTCAGTGGTTAGGTCAGCAACTATCACCCTAATGGAGAATGTACTGTAGTTTATGAACACATCCAATATGCATCATGATCAGGGCACAAGTTGAGTCTTTAGCTCCCTTTTCTATTCTAATATAAATAGAAGTCAGGAACCTATAAAGAATGTAACCTGAGAGTAAAAACCCACTGATCTTGTCACACAGGAGGATAGCATAGTGTACCCTTCTCGCATGGTAAGTTGATCTTGCCACACACATCATATTGCACCCCCCTCCCTCCCCCCCTCATTTTAAATTGACCTTTTTAAACACCAAACTGTAAATGTTCTGGCATAGGAAACACTATGTTAAAGCATTATATTATAAAACATTTGTTACTACATCACTATGCCAAGTCCTGATGCAGACAATATGCAACTTGACTATATTATATCTTTGCACAAAAATCTTTCAATTAATTCCACATCCAAATTGTATTATTAACTGCAAATACTCAACACTTGCCATTTTTCCTGAGGTAATGAAGGAGAGAACATATGCATGATTAAATTGCCCATAATAAATGGACATCAATGTTCATTAGATTGAAGATGGATCTCTGAAAATACTGAAATGTTCAAATATGTGCCATGAATAGAATTGTCACTTTACAGATAAAATCTGATGTATACAACAAGAAATTTATATAGAAAATGTGTGCAGTATGGATGACAAATTTTAATTCCACTTACCATGCAAATAAATGCCTGAAAGGAATAGGCAGAGATATGATTCCAAATATTCTATAGAGCACTCTTCCTTACAAGTCAACTTTACTTCTTTTGAAAGCATGAAAAATCCTTTCAACTGTGAAGTGAGTAGAGTCTAGTGCAGAGAATGGCTAGGTAATAAGAACACTAGTGTTGCCTGTGAACCCCCCCACAAATAATGAACACATATCCATACTTAAAACTATATGTACTTTACTATTTACATTGTTTAGTAGCACATTTATGCAAGAGCCTTGATATAACACTTGACTGACAGTTGAGGTAGTAAACTGTCCTGTGAATCTATCACAAAACATTCGCTAGTGACAATTTGATAAAGTGTCACATCAAGGAACTTACTTAACACACAATCAGACACTCTTGACATGGCATACTATAATACTCCAACTGTCATGCCGAGTAGCTTCTTTACAGATATGAAATTAACAGTAAAGTGCTGTTTTAAAAATCTTAATAAATGATGAAAACCTAAATACAATTTTGTCACATCCCATTGGGCTAAGTATATTTAAAATCATGTAAATAGTCAATAATCTTGCAAATAAACTACCAACATGACAGTGGAAGTTATGATACAGTTGGAACAATCACTACAAAGACATCAACTGTGTTTCCCAGGACCCTGGTATTAACCATGGGTATGTAGACAACCATTATTCTGAAATCAGAGGGGGGAAAGGGGCACCTATAGTGACGATGATTTATGTGAACAAACCATTTGATCAATAAATAGTTTACAAATGCTGTACTGATATGGCAAGCCACATCAGTATTTAAATAATTTATCATAACATCAAACTGCAACTAAACATGCAGCCAAATCCTACCTGCAGTTTGTTCTGCAATATTTTCTCACCTTACATAACAGCTCACGATAGTACAATACTGTACATTTTCCTCGAGTTTTCCACAGGCTGGAATATGAAGACGAGATTCACTAATAATGCTGAGTAACAATTTTGTTTGTTCCTGAATAGTAAGTGTTATTTTCTGAGTGCTTGTGCGTCCAAAATATAGAAAATAGCTATTATTCCCCTCTAATTTTGCTTTGACCTTTACCCCAGACAGCTTAGTCACATGTCTGGAAAAGGAGCCGGCAGCCATCAAGTATCTTCAAGACATCTTCCTTAAACTGTCTGGGTTAAAGATCAAAACAAACTCTAAGGAGGGAATCACAATGGCCATTTTCTATACTTCAGAGGCATAAGCAACCAGAAAGTAAAATTTGCTACACAGGAACAAAACTGTTACATTGTATAATGGGACAATTGCACAAACTATAATTCATTACAATGCAGTTTTTACTGTCCACATTCCTTATTTCAAGAATTTATTATTAGAATAAGATCTATCTTACATTTCATGTAAAATCTGAGCCCATCCCATTGTTAATAAAGATACAGTAAAGGCTTTCAGCATTTTTATGAAAGGTTTTCAAAAGCTTACTAGTTATAGGCATATTAATAAGGATAATAAAGATGCTGATTATTCAAATCAGAATTAGCTATACTGTAGAATTTCTCAAATTGTGTGACTCGTGTAATTCAGACTGATATCCAAACCACAACTGAAAATGCCATTTCTTCATTTTCAGTTGTGGGTTGGATGGCAACTCTTCAGCCACATTATTGTGACTCGATGTCTGCATGGTGTCAGTATGTTTTTTCAGTGGTTAAATTTTAAAAGATTAAAAATCTTCTTTTCTAGTATTACAACTGGATACCTAAAGGCTTCTGAAAATGCATTTTAGATCTTCAAGGCCTCAGCTGTAAGTGTATGGATGGGTCCTCACTGTAAATGTATGGATGGGTCCTCTATTGTAAGTGTATGGGTGGGTCCTCTACTGTAAATGTATGGATGGATTCTCTACTGTAAATGTATAGGTGGCTCCTCTACTATAAGTGTATGGGTAGGTCTTCTACTATAAGTGTATGGGTGGGTCTATGCCCGCACAACTGGCTGCCAAGTGCCCACAATCAACATCTTAATTAGCATATAGCTATAAACATAATACAGGTCAACATGCACTACCAACTAATCACTTAATTATAAACACTGACTGAATGATAAGTAGGTGCTGATAATACATTTTTAATATAATTCTAGGGAAAAGTAGGTTGGAAAATAAGAACAAAAACAATTTTGCCTGAAACAGTGGGTGCAACAAAGATACAGTTATAGTGCAGATAACATTTCAACGAAATAAAACGTAAGGTATATTATGCTGTTTTTATAAAATGTAATTATTTACTACGTATTTTGTAGCAGAACCTAATGCAATCATTGGGAAAGTATGGTGCTGCAAATACTGTAAATATACTGCAATTTCTTGTTATCAAATTTTAAATCAATGCCTGCACTGCCAACTATGCTAGTTTGGACCCAACTGTACTTGTGTGAGTGACTGCATTAGCAGCTTATATAAACACATTCTACTTGCTGTCTTCTTTGAGTGACAAACTGCATGTAAGGATAGGGTGATTAACACATTATCTGGCAAACTAGTTTTCCTATCAAAATTGGTTTCAGTCACGCAAAATCACAGAGCTCTTCACACAGTAAAGTCGTATATAAGTTTTCTTTATAAACCTTATAAAATCCTATCTACATTTTACTAAGAATGCTAAGTTATTCTCAAAAAAGGCATTCGTTCTATCATCAAAATGTACCTCTATAATCTCCAAACTAGAGAGATTGCCAAGATAACCATTCATGCACTTCTTATAAAAAGAAATATGATCACAGACAGAATCTTTACATAATAAATGAATAACATCCAAAGCAACAGCTAAACATGACTACGTTATCACAGGTAGGGGGGAAAAATAAATGCCTGGAGCAAGACAGGACATTACATATATTATGTAACTGTATAAAATCTTAAGTTAATTAAATCAGTGATTTCAAACATTAATATATCTGAAGGCTTAGTGTTATTACACTATTCATATCAAATTCTGATCACTTCCTGCATTGCTTTTTAAAACTTCATTCTTCATATCTGTTCAAGATTTAGCATAAAACTGCATTTGTAAAAGTAATAAAGTTCAATCAGTTTATAGCACTGTCCTGTGCTTTTCACTATCAAATTAGTTTATTTGTGTGTGTATATGTATGTGTATTATTATTATATATATATAAATATATATATATATATATATATATATATATATATATATATATATATATATATATATATATATATATATATATATATATATATATATATATATATATATATATATTTATTTATTTATTTTTGGCTACCACGTCTGGTGCAATTGTAGGGACCCATGGCCTTGAAGAAGGGAACACAGAGCATTTAGAGAGAAACTTGCCACTTAACTCTGAATACGTATGAGTGTTCACTTCTCCTACCATCCCTTTTTTATGTTGTACACTTAATTAAACAAGGTTATACATATATATTATATATACTGTGTATATATATATATGTCGTACCTAGTAGCCAGAACGCACTTCTCAGCCTACTATGCAAGGCCCGATTAGCCTAATAAGCCAAGTTTTCATGAATTAATTGTTTTTCGACTACCTAACCTACCTAACCTAACCTAACCTAACTTTTTTCGGCTACCTAACCTAACCTATAAAGATAGGTTAGGTTAGGTTAGGTAGGATTGGTTAGGTTCGGTCATATATCTACGTTAATTTTAACTCCAATAAAAAAAATTGACCTCATTCATAATGAAATGGGTAGCTTTATCATTTCATAAGAAAAAAAATAGAGAACATATATTAATTCAGGAAAACTTGGCTTATTAGGCAAATCGGGCCTTGCTTAGCAGGCCGAGTACGATGTTCTGGCTACTAGGTACATTATATATATATATATATATATATATATGTATATACATGTATGTATGTATAAAATCAGTCACTGAGAAATAAGTTGGGGATTTGGAATTTTAGTAAAGATCATACAGTGGAAACAAGTTCTTTACTTTTTCTTTTTTCTTTGCTTTCCTTTCTTTCTTTAGTTTCTTTACCATTTTCCTTACTCTTATCTTTTGTTTTCCCTTCTTTATTTCTATCTTTACAATCCTTCTCTGTTTTACTTCTATCTTTTACATCTTTATTTCTCTCTTTTTTTGACTTTTTTCTTTTTGATGGTTTAGGGGACTTTCCCAAAAAGAGTGCTTCATGGAAGTCATCAGAGCTCAAATTTGATTCTTCAACATGTAACACTGAGCTAAGAGCACCATCAGTTGGAGACTTAGGAAACTGAAATACCAACCGTCCTTTCTCTGGTTCTGATGCAGACCGAGAAACTCGTAGTTCACCAAGAAGGAAAGGTGAAGTGGCTCTTGTAGCTTGGAGAGATAACGATGACAGATGGAGACAAGTTCCACTTGGTCGTGCAGAGACTCTTGGCGAGAGACTTGCAGAACTTGGCACCACCAGAGAAGAAGATCGAGATCGGCTATATATGGGTAAAGGTGAGGTGTCTAGGCGGGCATCAATACGAGACCTCGGCTCTGGAGTACAGCATAAAGGAAGTGTCAAACTTGGTGACCGTGTTTCTCTGTGCTGAACCTTAGGGGAACGTGGTTCAGGCGATCTGCAAATTGACACTCCACTGATATAAAGTGTTGGTGAATTTGGTATCCCCGTCTCAGATTCATATTCATTTGAACTTTGATTTTCAAGTTTAGAGGAATGAGAAATGTGAATTCTAAGACCTTTCACATTTGATGGGGCACTACTACTTTGTTCTGTGGAATTACTTTCATCTTTATCAGTACCTTCATCTACTATTAACTGAAAAGAGGGTTCATGTTGAAATACTGGGTCTAAATCAATGCTAGCATCACTCCCTCCACATTGTTGATCTAATGGATTCTCCAACTGACTTAAAATTCCACGCACTTCCATGTCCATCATAGGGGAGTCCATATCTCCAATAATCTCTGAAGCAGCTCCTGGGTCAGTGTTTTCCACATCTCCACTTTCTGATTCCATATCTATACTTTCTTGCTTAGGCTTTGACAATCTAAGTCTAGCAGTCTCTTCTGGATGGTCCTGATGAACATGATCAGAGTCTATCATACATTGTGGTTCTTCAGAGCTTTTTAAATCTCCAAGGGACTGGGATCTGCGTAGATCTCTCCGTAAATCATGTGATGGGCCAGGTATCAAGAGATGTCCATTTTCATGGAGATCGCCATACTCAAAATGTCCATCTTCTACTTCACTAGCAACCTTTGGAAAGCAGAGAAGGTCTTTATCTGTTTTATTATCCCAGTCCTTGTCCACATTGAGATTTCTGAAAAAAAAAAATTGAAGTTACTAGTATTTATAAGCCTCAGCCCCCCCCCCCCCCCAAAAAATCCCACATACCACTGAGCTAGAGGGTTGTTAGTCGTGCCCCACAACAGTAAAGTAACCAACAAAGAAAAAAGAAAAAGGAACAAAATTAGCCCCCACCAAAAAAGGGGGTGGAGGACCATGAAGTTGGTCCTCCATTTAGCCTATTTTAGTTTACGCTGGAACAGCCCTTCAGACCATAAATGACACACTGCTCTTGCAGGTGGTTATTGAAAAGTAAATAATAATAATAATAATAATAAACAAAACAGCGTTGAATGTAATGAAACACTTTTTTCTGGACGAGTCCCAGTGGCTCCCTGAAACCCTGAAGCTATCTTGCTGAGATGGCTCCCAACTACTAGGGTCCTATGTCACATCAGCTATGGAGTTCTGCTTGGTCTTTGAGGTCCAGAACTAGAAATTGCTCCTTCCTGCTCCCTCACAGAGGTGCAGAGAGCAGGTGACACACTGCCACCCCACTGGCAAAGAATTGCAAAAAATCAGTAAACCCATACAGACCACTGTGGGGTTCAAAAGAACCAAATCCTAGAAACTGCCAAAAGAACTCTAAAGATAATGTAAACAAATAATTGAATCTCTCAAAATTAGTACAAGATGCAGACGAGGAGTCACAATAACGTGGCTGAAATATGTTGACCAAACCACACACTAGAAAGTGAAGGAACGATGACGTTTCGGTCCATCCTGGACCATTCTCAAGTTGATTGTGAATGGTTATGCAGTCTCCTCGTCTGCATAACTCCTGGATATCCAGCATATTTCCCAAGACAATCTGAATACCTCCCAAGTGAACTGAGAGACTCTCCCAGGGAACCAGAATACACTCTCAGGGATACAGGTGACTCATCCATGAAAGTGGGGAATTTACTAGGGGATTCAAAGATTTTCCCTCCCAAGAATCCAGAGACCCTCCACTCCCATCTAGGCCTAGTATATTCTTGCCAAGAATCTAGGGATCTTACCTTGGGGATAAGACTATTTGAGACATTTCTGGTTATGGAGAGGTGAACGACATTAAAGCTTGGCTCAGAAAATGCATCTCTGTGGATCCTTATAGGCTTAGGATCAAGGAAGTAACTGAGGAGGCCAAAGCTCAGAAAGATAAAGAATTATTTAAATAGTCAGAAATATATAAAGTGAAGTGACTTCACTTTCCAAAGTTCAAACTTTGTTCAAAGGTTTTTTTTTTGTTAAAAACAAAAAAAAAAAAGTTCAAACAAAGTAACCAAAGTTCATGACTGGATAGTTTGTTAACCTACAACTTATATACTATGTAAAATATTATTCATTATAAATTCATGCATTTATGTACAGTATTATAACAACTATGAGCAGGGCAATATTTTAACCACTGACTGCTTCCAAGTCTGGAATAACTGCTATTCTTCCTGTTGAAAAATTAAAACAGAATGCATATATATTTGGCATGGTGCATGTCATATTAAGAAAGAAAATACAGTGAACACAAATTTATGAAACAAAACTTGAGATACCTTAGACTGATCTCCTTATTGACCAATTTCTTCAGGAAATAATCTACAGCAATTTCAGCACTAGTTGGTTGATATGAAGTGGCTCCTTCAGATATATCTGGCCGTGGCCAAGCAGAAGCTTCATCTTGGGCTACTGCTACTCGACTTCCACCATAGGATACCTCGTACCCTAAAATGTTGCTCGCTAGAGTTGCTCCTGAACCACTACCTCCAGCACTACACCCTAAAAATATCATTGGCACTACTGAAAAATCAGAAATTCTTATTCACTTTACATCTATTTAATTAACATCTTATGTTTTAAAACTACCTTTTACAAAAGATTAGGCAACACAACTCCTATATCTGACAGTACTTTATAATGTCTTTTAGTTAGGAAGACTTTAACAATGCAGAATAAATTAAATACTGTAACACGAAGTATTGTACTATACTGTACAGTAAATTTAGTATGAGAATAAGTAATAGAAAGCAGTACTGCAGTTTAAAGGAGTACTGTACTGTACAATGTAATAAAAAAGTGACATAAAAGAGCCTCCTTATATGATTATGATAAATTATATACATAGAAGCAATTAAGCAAAATAAAAGATTAAATATTGTAAAACAATAGTTGTCGGAAAAATATATAATATTCATTATGTGCAGATTAATTTTTCATTATGAGCTTTGCAAGACGTTTGGTTGTCTGATAAGGGGCCTGTTTGCCGTGGTGTTGAATCAGCTTCTGGTCATGAAAAGGCACTACGGGCTCACCATAGCCCGTGCTACTTGGAACTCTGTTCCAGGTAGCGAATCTTTAACAACAACATTCTGGTCATGTGGTGCCTTTTCCAGATCACAAGATCTTTCAGTGATGGAGAATTTTGCCTGGATTGGGGGGTCAATGGTCTTACCTTTACACTTCCACTCAAGTCCAGCTTCTTACCATGTTGGTCAGCTTAGACATTTTTGGGCCAAATATTCCTCTTGGCCACAATTTGGTCAGTTCAATCCTGGTTTCTGGCCCTTCTAGCCCATTTGTTGTCCCAATCCTCTCCTCTTTCCGAGTCTTCACCTCTCCCAGCACATTGATGGCATGATCTATATTGATGTTTTAAGGTTTTCCTCTGATCTTTGCTTATGGAAATTTTAGAACTTTTCACCGTCATTTGTATGCGGTCGAGTGGTGGGCCGTTTGGTATTGCATTTGATACTTTTTTCATGATGACATCATGAGGTCTCTTGGCTTGCCTATGGACTATCCATCTTTCTTTGATGAATATCATCTGCATCAGTTCCTAATTGTAATGTCTTATCTTTATAGGCTCTTCTTGGATTGAAGATTCATGTCTAACACTGTCACCTCATATTATTTGATCTTGACAGAGCCTCTCTTGCTGGCTGTTTGGAATTGATGTTGCTTACCCCACATTTTCTAGTTGTCTTGGTTGCTCTTTCACCTCAGTACACTTCACATCCTTTTGTAGCCTTCTTGGTGACTCAATTGTCTAGTCATTTTGTCTTTTCCTCGCTTTTGGGTTTCTCCCTCGGTTGAGGATTTCTCTATTAATGCAGCATTTCTCCTGGTTCTTGTTTCTGCCTGTCAGGTAAGAGAACTTAACATTCTTCTCCAGAAGTGAGATGTTTTGTTGTTTCTTCATTTTCTACAACAGCAGCTTTAATATACGTGCTCCATATTCTCATTAGCTTGTATGCAGATAATGAGAATATGGAGCAAGTATATTACTGGCATAATATACGTGCTACATAACTTTCCCTCCCATGAATGAAGAGAAATACACTTGCCAGCTATTTGTGCTGTACAGGTCTATGCATTGTTTGTTAATGTGGTCTCTTACATTCCTTATACCAAGGCTTGTCTTAACCAGGTCATCCAGAAGGTCGTTTGGCTTGGGCAGCCAGAAGTTTATCCTGCTCTCGTAACTTGCAGAAATTTGCTGCTTTGTCAGATTTTTCTCTACATGTTTACAGTAAATATTCGACTTCAAGGCCTCAGGTGGTCCAGTTTTATGTCATTTGGCTTCACTGTATTTCAATGGCACTTAGGCATTTTCTGTATAGCTGATATTCTTTCATTTCCAACCCTCCTCTCCTGCTGTCTTCTTCCATAGGTAAGCCCAATCTATCTTTTTTGGTTTATTAATTTCTTGTTTTTCAGAAAAGATGGTGACCTCTACCAAGGCATCCTTTTAATTAGCTACTGAGGAGTCCCTCCCAAAAATTAAGTGTTGAATGTAATGAAGTGCTCTTTTCAGTTAGACCACTAAGTAGCTCCCTCTATTTCCCTGTTCCCTTCTTTCCCATGCATGTTGGGAGGGTTTCTGTTCAATTAGCTCATGAAAGCTGCCTGGTGGAGACCTTAAGTGGCCTGGGGTATTATTTGGTACCAGTTGGATACATCAAGACAGGGTGTTTACCCAGGAATGATTGTTCCCCTTGTTTTTCACTGGATTACTAACTTTCTTGAAACATTTGCTTTTTTTTTGATGGGCCAAAAATGTTTGGTGGGATTTGCTTAACTTTGGGTTGATCTCTGACTCCTGAGTGTCCCCCTCACATCATAGAGCACTAGACTATGGTCCTTGGTCCCAGTAAGTTGGAGGGGGGTCTCAGAAGCCTGTGCAATTACCTAAAGCTTGGCAGCCCCAAGTGCAATAGCCATGGGAAACTACCAAGTGGCCCACCAGAAAAAAACACTTCATTACATTCAACGCTTGACTTATGTGGTGGTAGAATAAGTCCGAAAATCTTAATAAATCTGCCTCTCAACTGTGTTTGGTCCTGAGCAGGTCAGAAAGCAGGATGACCTCTGTACAACACCTTCAGCAATGTTTTCTTTGTCTTAACCTTTAATTTCTTGCTGATGACAGTACACTTCACTGTTTATTGCTTATACAAGATACAAAGATTTGTAGTTTCTGATTCTCTTTCTTGAGACTCAGTACAGTATTTACCTTTTTCTAAACCTGATTCTGCCTGAACTCAAAACAATATTTTTCAAAATTTGCAGATCGAGATAGTGTCATAACCAAATTAGCAACAGGTAGGCCACACTAATGTAGAGACATCTAAGGTATGATCGAATGCACAGGAAAACCACCCCAAGGAAAGACTTGGGAAAATTGTTTGAAAAGCCCCAGTATATCCCTGATCCATGCATTTTGAAAAGCCTTTAGATGTACCAGTACTACAATGTCACTATCTTACCATGAAAAGGCTGACGAGGCCGATGAGAGCAGCCCTGTCGAGAGCCCCCAACAATGGGATGTTCTAGTTGGGGCCCTACAACTGGGGCTGAAGGACCAGGTACAGCATCAACATGGGAAAAGCGGCACACCAGAACCTCTACCTCGTCCAGGAGCCCAAACCACCTTCTTCCAAGACCATGACCTGCAGGAAGAAGAAGGTTGAGGCTTCAGCCATAACACAAGGCGGAACAGCTAAAAAAAAAAAAAAACTCCAAAACTAGTGTACAACCTCATCTAGGACTAGGAAAAGGAAAGAAAAAAAAATGGAGGAGTGAAAGAGTGAAAGTGTTCAAACAGACTCCTGGAATAATCCCAGCATCGCCCACCTATAGGGAAGGCACGCATCACAGAAATTCACAGTGATTTTCTAGCCACGGCAAGAGCCGATGAAAAGGTAAGCAAAATGTCCAACCCCCTGCAGCTGAATCAACAAGGTACGGAGTAAAATTATTTCTGGCAGGAAAAAACTTGGCAACATTTATCAGATAATACTGAACTTTAAAATTAGCCACAAGATGTCACACAAAATGAGTGTGACATAGACCTGCCCAGAAGCCACAGCCTATACCTCGATTGGAGCAGCAGAGTAACATTTAACGATGGAAACAGCCACCTTCAAATCAAGCACCTGGGACCTGTTGAACAATAATCACTTTCCCCACAGAGGAATTGTAAGCCTGATACAGTACCCAAAATCAAATGTGTAAAAAAAAAAAAAGGGCCATTCCAAAGCATGGATCCTGTCCAATAACAGAAGCAACAACAAAGTTTACCTAGTCTTGGGCACATGAAACTGAGACTGAGGTGGACCTGTGAAAAACTGGAAAGTCAGCAACATGAAGAGGAGAAGAAGTGCAGTCACCTCAAATTGAGTTTGAATGTAAAACAGCTATGCAACCAGGAAGCAAGTCCTCTCACTCCATGCCAGTGTTATAAATAAGAGTCCCTGAAAGGAGTCTTACTGGAGAGGAAAGGGTGGCAAATCACACACACATGTGGAGAGGAAGCTGATTGCTCTAGCCTGAGCTTTGGCCTATTTGAATCTCCCTTCTATTTGAAGCTTGTACAACTAGCACATGAAACTGTTTCAGCACCACAGCCATAAACGGCTGCTTTGAATCCGGTTGACACACGACAGCACCTTTCTGGTACAGAGGGTCAAATTCACTGATAGACCAGAAACTCAAAATCCTTACAAGAGGGGGAACATGGTCAGAACCCAAAACAGTACAAAATTTAAATTGCCTGCACTAAACAGGTATAATGCTGAAAGAATGGCCATCAGTTTCAATCGCAATCAATTTGTGTCCTCAAGGTGCTCAAATATAGTGCTATCAACCAGACAATAAAAGATGAGAGCATGCTCATGTATGAGTAACAATAAAACTCAAGCTTATGTAATGAAACATCTTTTTCTTGTGGAGCCCCTCAGTAGCTTACTGAGCTAAGCAAGTTCAACATCCAGTTCAGCCAAGTTTTAGCAAAAATGCACTAGGCCTTCAAGATTCACTTTTGCTCACCAGAACCAGAATCTGGTTCTCTCTACAAAGCAGAGAACTCAAGGATCAGACTTCAATCCAAAACTTAAATTAGGCCCAGGCAGGAATGAGGTAAATGATTATTGCCATCCTGTTGGCACCCTAACTATGATTTGCCTAACCACCATCATGTGGAAGCCTGGGTCACCAAGGGTCCCAGCCAGCCTGCCCCCTACTCACTTGCCTGGTCACAGTATTGGGGCATGGAACCTTTGATGGGTTGGTATTCCAGGAATGTCTGTTCCACTGGAGCCATTTATTTATTATTGTTTCATTTTTTATTCACAATTGTGTTTTATAACACTCACACTGCATGTGCCCTAGCTTTTTATTTCACATTGACAGAGTTCAATGTCTAGAGTTCCCTTTCCTAGAAGTTGATTCAAATTTTCCTGCATTACCAGAGATAACTGCTATAAGGGGGGGTTTTGGGTTCCTCCTCTGTGAGCTGACTCCTCTTGAGTCACCTTGAGCTATTTCTATGACTCCACTGCATATCCAGCTTCCACTAATGTCCCCCTTATCCTACCCCTTTTCAATTTAAATAGGAAACTATATTGTCCACCATATCTATTCTCCTCACTATCTTGCATGTAGAGATCATATCTCCTCTAAGATTTTGAGGTTGAGTTCCCTTAATCTGTCCTCATACCTCAGCATTCTTAATTCTGGTACTAATCTAGTTATAAACCCCTATACTTTACATTTTCTTTTTGCTTCACAGAGGTGTGATTTCAAGCTGGTGCTTACCTGTAAGTGACAATGGGGTAGCGATATCTAGCTCTTTATGCCTTATTTATACCTGGCACGCTAAATTACCTCTCTCAACATTAATGTTTTTCATCGTATTTTCTTGCAGAATCTTGCATAGAATGCATGTTAATGGCACTGGACTATATGTTTGTGCTTCATGTATGTCCCTTTTCTTAAATATTGGAACTACATTTGCCTTTTTCCAGATTTTAGAAGCTCTACCATCTCAAAGTGCAATGTTGAATACTCTAGTTAATGGTCAACACAAGATCTCTGCAGCTTCTTTCAGTAACCTGCTTTTGTTACTGCTTACTTTTTTATGCTGCTTTTGTTACATCCAGTTCCTTCAGGTATCCTTTTACCTCTCCTACATTAACTTCAATTCTGTCTAGTGTTATTTTTGGTTTTCTGTTTTCACTTGTACTTGGACATTGATCATGTTCGGGTTTCAAGACCTGCTGGAACTTCTTGAGTTCTTCACACACTTCTTTGTCACTTCCCTGAGTATTACTCCATGTCCCCGCAGTCTAATGAGATGGTATCTTACTGTTGTTTTCCTCCGTATAAGGTTGTGCAACAGCTTAGGTTGACTCTTTGCTTTTGCTGCAATGTTATTCTCAAACCATTGCACTGCTGCCCTTTTGATTCTTGAGAACTCATTCCTGGCCCTCTTTAGTGCTTCCCCATTTCTATCTGAACCCATGTTCCTACACTTTGTCCATGCATTTTTTGTCTTCTCTTTTTCCTCCTCACACTGTCTGTTGAATCATGGGTTTGCCAGTATTCTTTCAACAATTTTTCTCCCAAGTAATATGAACTGTTCTGTTGCTTCTTTGCATTTCTGTGTTATGAGTTTCATTTCATTTGCTGACTTTCCTTCCATTTCAATCTCCCATTGAACCTCCTGCATTCCCGTCTTCTGTATTCTCTTGTCCCTTCTCCCATTTCCAACTCTGTCTTTCAGTTCTACAATGTAATCAAACACAATAACAGAGTGGTCACTGGCTCAAAGTGGGACCTTATATTTTCAGTTCTCTACATCATTGTACAGCATACTAAGTAATTTTCACACATAGACAGTGCTTATTGGCATGAGAGACTCCTTGTTTAGATAAATGCTGTTCTTATGTTCACTAACTTCCAATATGCTGCTGATGTAATCCTGTTCATATAAGCTTCTAGTGTTAATGTTAGGATTATCTATCTAGTTGGGGCACATCACACACATACACACACACAGTCTTGTGACCTGTCTACTCCCAGGCATTTCTCTCTTGGTATTTCTTGTAATTGCATCTTCGTTATGGTGTACGTATTCTCCTATACATAACCTATCTCCCCTTCTCATCTTCATTACCTTACACTTATGTGAATTGAATTCCAGCAGCCATTTATCTGCTCACACCTGTAATTTGTCAATATCCACCTGTAGCACTCGACAGTCCTCCTCATTAAGTTTCTTCATCTGCAAACATTGACATATAGAAGCTCACTCCCTCTGGTAAGTGTTCATAAATTAAAAATAGTAATGGTCCTAGGACACAGTCCAGGGAAGCCCCACTATCCACTCCTTTCCAGCCTAACATAACCTCTCAGATTATGACCCTTTGTTTTCTGTCCATCCAGTACTCTTATTCTATTGTATCATCGTCTTGTGTATTAGTTTTTTAAGAGAAACTGTATCATAAGCTTTCTTGTAGTCTAGGAAGGTATAGTCTATCCATCCTTCATTCTCTTGTATTATTTTGAAGACCCTGCCATAAAAGTAAATAAAGTTTGTTAGGTATGCTTTTCACTCAGAATCTTTGTTGTTCTTTCATTATAAAAGATTCATCTCATCTTTCATTTTTCATTCATTGCTTCACGTATGTCCCCTTTCTTGAATATTAAAACTACATTTGTCTTTTTCTATATTTGTGGAAGCTCTACTTTTTCTAGTGATATGGTGAAAGCTTTTGTTAATGGGTAACACACAATCCCAGTAGCTTCCTCTGTTCCCTATGGTGATACCTGTCCAATGTGTACGGCAGTTCATTGGGCATAAGCTTCATTGTGTGTATGTGTGAGAACTAGAGTTTCAGCATTCATTACATACATGCTCCTCTAAGGCAAAAGAGAGTCAAACTTCTTCCATTCAAGTGTGTCTCATATTACAGTGGTTAAGAGATTTATGAATGGGCTCAATGGTCACAGAGCATTAAGAATAAAAACAAATAGTTAAGAATAACAACATATAATCTTATTTGAGAAAATTCACTAATAAAGAAAAAGTACTGTATTCAGTTATTTCCATTTACAATAGCTAGAAAAACAATCTATTCCTAAAAATTGCTGTTTTTAGTATGTCTCGTTTATAATGCAGATGGCACCCAATCTTTAGGTATTAAAAATGCAATGAAAGTTGATAGATTTTAATAATAAACTTTAAAATCTGTACGACAAATTTTCAGTTATAAGTGTTACACTAAATATTTACATCCAGCACAAAGAAATATAAAATTCATTGTCCAGTTAAATTGATTTCAGTGAATTTTTAATACTTTATATTTAATCTAACCATAAATGAATGAAGCACAAATTATATAACCCAAAACATATGTACAGTGCCGGTTATACTAAATATGCTGTGGAAGAACAAGACAATTGTCAAGATGTTGGCAGAAAAGTGACTCCCGAATCAAAATTGCATGTGTAATTAGTATTCAAACATGCCATCAAATAATACAGTCCACTACATGATCCCAATGTGAAATAAGTTTGGATCATTCATGCTAGGCCCAAGAGCCTAATGCTAAACTAAGAAGTCTACTGAATTTGGCACTGGATAATTGGCATAATTCTAAAAAAATCTGTCAATATGAAATATATGTTTGGAGCAAAAAATAAAATAAAGGTACAGGTAGTTGTATAATTTTCATGATTTTTCATATTTTTTTAAATTTCCATACAAATTTTCATTTTTTCCATTTTCCATTTTTCCAATTTTTTTCCAATTTTCCACAACAATTTTCCAAAATTTTCCATGGCCATGGAAACTCTACTATCCAATTACAAATGTTCCTCAGTGAACAAAAGCTTCAGAGCATTCCAGGCACACCATGATAGAGAGTTAACTTAGTGATGCAAATCGTACACATTACTAAAAATCTTATACTAAACTCCATGAGACATCAAATGTTCCTTCAGTTATATGGATAAGACAATGGTTATGTAATCTTATAAATCCCCTTGTAGAATCTCATTACATCACAAAAAGCACTCAATATAGAGTGGCTGGGTGATCAACCACTCTTCAAACAATACATGACATGTATGATTTCATGAGACCCACTGACGACAGTAGAGAAGCTGAAAACATAAACCCTGACAGTCTTTAAGATTGTGATAAACACATAACAGAATGCACAATTTCTTTGATCAAACAAAGTAATACAGTGCATCCTCACTCTAACAGACCCCGCTCTAACAAATTCCTGGATGGTCCAAATTCTATTTGGTACAAATTGTTCAGTGGAACATACAAATGTTCGATTAAGTGAGGATTTTTCGTCCAAGCTGTCACTGAGGCCGAGCGTTGGGGGGCAGCTGTGTTATCATCATCCATGATCCACCTAATCAAAGTGTAAACTATTGTACAGTGCTTAAAATTTTCATCAAACTTAAAATATAACATAATATTTTACAAGTTACCGGTATATTCTACAATACTAATATTCAAAAAATATACTTAGAACAGCTAAAAGTGAATACTATTACATTGCCAATTGCTATTAATGTTCTTTACCCAAATAAATTTGAATTTAGGTTCAAATACAGTACTAATAAAATACAAAAACCTTAACAAAAATACTAAAATACTGTACGACAAACTATCATACAAGTATTATTGTCACTCAGTAATAACTCAAAATTATAAACAAAATGAAAAAGTCCAGCATTGAATGTAATGAAACTATTCTTTCTGGAGGAGCCTTAGTAGTTCTCTAAATCTATCTTGTTGAGATTGCTTCATACTAAAAAGGTCACATCAGATGAAGTTCTGCTTGGCTTACCAGGTATCAGAGCCAGAACCTAGGTTCCCCTCCTCACAAAGGCATATGGAGCGGGTGATAATGTACCCAGAAATAAAACTCCAGAAAGTGAGCAAAGATTTATGAGCAACTTGAGGGTTCACAGGAAATGAAGCCTCAAAACAGCCAAACAAATCTGCAAACAATTCACACAGAACAAAGGATTGACTTAACTAACTTGAAACTCGTTAGTACCAAATACCATCACTAGGCGGCCTCAGCCCTCAGCTGGCTCCCCAGGTCAATTCTGGAGCTAATGAACAACTCAAAGATGAACCAATGAACCTGCATGGAGGGGGGGGGGGGGAATCAGGGAACCACTGGGGCTCTTCCAAAAAAAAATATTTCATTACAGTCAATGCTGAGTTACTGGAAGGAGTCCCTTAGTGGTTAGCTGAAGCTAACTAAACACAGAGAACAAAAATTCCACTTACAGAACCAGGAAGGAGGAGAGGTGGCAGACATTAAGATAAAGAGAATTCTAGGTGGGAGACATGGCCTAAAGCCACATACATGACTGACTGGGACCAGGAATATTGACCAAATACTGGGCTGCCTGAACCCTGTTTGACTTACGAGGAGAGGCTAGAGGCATTAAATATGCCAAAACTAAAAGATAGAAGAAAAAGAGCTGATATGATCACCACTTACAAAATAATATCATGAATCAACCAAACTGACAAAGAGGAGTTCCTGAAACCAGCAACTTCTAAAACAAGAGGACATAGATTCAAGCTAAGGAAATACAGGTACCAAAAAAAATTAGTTTTCTTTTGCAAACAGTGGTAGATAGTTGGAACAAGTTAAGTGAGAAGGTGGTGGAGGCCAAACCTGTCAGTAGTTTCAAAGATGTAAATCTAAGTTATTATGTAATGTTGGGCCCTCCAATAATTGTCACATAACTATAACTGATAGGGAATGGTTTGCCAATGATCGCTCTATCATATGCCCCATTCAAAATGATAAATACAGAACATAGTAAACAAATATTTTGTGATTTTTAAATATGTGAATAAAGATGGGTTATGATGAAGATATTTCATTACACTGCTCTCCTGGTAAGTCACAAATCATTACATGCATTATGGTGGATAAAGGCCCCTTTTTTTTGGGGGGGGGGGGGATGGAGGGAATGGGGGGGAAGGAGGAATGGGGGGGAAAGAGGGGAAGAGGAATTTCATGGGGGTTTGATGGATCAAATGAAATCCCTTATGGAATGAATTGGCCTTGCTCCATATAGCTTGTTCAAACTAGAATAAACTGTACAGTACATGGAAATGTGTGCATGATGAAACTGTTCAAGAAAGAACATTGCTCAGCTCAGAATAACAGATGATTTATTCATAAATCAAGACACATGCAAAAATATATAAAATAAATAAGACAGAAACCTAACTAAAGTGTAATTATAAATAAATTTCTTTATGTTCATGTAAACCTGATTATTTTTATATATTTTAAAGGCCAACTTAACACTTTTGCTGCTAGATACCGTTACTGTCGTCCTAAAATCAATAAACGCAGTTCGCAGGACAACAATACCGTTCAAAATTAAAATACCAAGTATTGTATTTGTAAAAATTCCATTTATTGTCCGATTATTATGGGACTTGTTTTAAAATGTCTTCCTGTTCTCTCTATAGCCCATGTACCATCACTACACTGGTGCGTGGGTGGCCACCAACGCAGCGGGTGGATGGCCACCCACCCTACCCTCGACTCGAAATGTGTGCCCGTTACAGTTGTTTTAAATCAGTATTTTTTTGTTACTGCCTTTATAAACACGAAACAACACAAAAGCGAATGATATAATGTAACAATGTCGGGTATGAATAACAACTGTAAACAATGACGAAAAGACAGTTTTTTCACATAATGATGTACATTATTTTATTTTATTGGTATTTTTGTTCTTCTATTTGACCTTATATGCATATATCCCTCAAGAGCATTCTATTGCGAACAATTTGATACCAAAATAAACGACGTAGCACAGAAATTGAGGTGAGAAAACTGTAAAAAGTATAAACATTGAAGTGGGGTTGTCCGCTCACGAGCACCATGCAGCTTACATTGTGGTGCACTGTGGATGGTCTGCCAGGGCGGCCAAAATGTTCAAATTAGCTGCATTCACACAGAGAGAACATGGAAAACAAACACTTGTGCCCCCACTACCTCTTTATAACAATGACAAAATTACCTATCTAAACAGAATCAGCAGTAATGGATTTTACCTTGATTAGTCCTTGGATCCCCAGTTCCATCCCATCCTTGCTCCCTTGAATGCTCTTGCAACCAAGACAATCTTCTTCTGGCTTCATCCTCAATCATTTGAAGCCGAGACATTTCAAGAGCAATGAGAAGCTCCATGCTGGAATCACATCCTTCCCATGATGCAGCTTCACCATCACCTGTTTAATGTGACATGTATTCACATTAAAATCTTATTTTACTGCAATGGAAATACTGAAACATACTTGTATAAATGCACAATATTTATAGTAAACAATGATGACATTTCTCCCAAATATTCACAATCTTTCTTGTGCTCAATTTTTTTTTTAATTACATTTCAAGCATAGGTTAGATATATGTACTGTATATATGAATAGGATTGGTTTGATATAAATAAGTGCTTCCCTGCATGTGTCATTATTATGCTCTTACAACTTTGTATCTACCCTGTGTTGATGAGGCTTGTGAAACTTAAAATGTAGCTGGCCAGAAACAGTATAGAACAAGAGTAGATGGTTAGAATAAACTACAGGCAGTAGCGAGTGCTAAAACCATTGAAAGTTTTCAAATTATTTGATAAAATATGTAAGCATAAGACACTGTAAGCAATTGTAGATCTCTTCCTGTAACTATAAAGCGGCAATCACAATAGTTCACTATCATAACATGAATACAAAATTCCTTTCCTTAAAATTATAATCAACTAGATGCTTTGCTTCTCATACCTTGCTCTGGTAGGTACTTGGCCTGCTGGGCACATCGTAAGGAGCAGAAGTCATGAATGGCCCCAGTTCTAGGGTTACGGGCACGAGGCCGTGGACAAGATTTTTTGTTGCATTTTCCTAGCAGAGTCAGAGTTAGTGCCTGGTTCAGACTGCTGTCCTATAGAAGAGAAAAAATATTTGTGCCATATTTATATATGCAACAGACCTTCGCTACTTGATGGAAACATGTTCATGAAACACCTGCAAATGCTAAAACTTCAAATGTTAATTCTAAGAGCATATGAGAAAAAGAAGGTTCGATTTGCTGACATAAAACTATATTTTGAAAAGAATTAATTACAAATTTAAGAAACAAGTGATGAATTATGCTTGGGAATGTGTGTGGACAAAAGTAAGGAAGCGTATGTGTCCGAGTGTGTGCATTTGGTAGTTTAATTATCTAAGTGTAGTTATAGGATAAGAGCTATGCTCAAGGTAGTTCTGTCTTCCCAGTATCCTTTGTCATGTGAGACTTTGAATCTATTGATGGTTTTTGGCATCCATCACTTTCTCATTTAACTTATTCCAACTATCTACCACTCTGTTTGCAAAAAGAGAACTCTAATATTTGTTTGGTATCTTTGCTTCCTTAGCTTGTATCTATGCCTTCTTGTATGTGTATGTGTCTGAAATTACTTGTGTAGTTACAGAATGAGAGCTACACATGTGATGTACTGTCTTCCCAGTACTGTTTTATGATGCTTTGAAACTACCAACGGTTTCAGTATCCACCACCTTTTTACTTGACTTGTTTCAACTGTCTACCACTACCTGGTATGCCTAACAGGTGTATCAGGCATGATGCAGCTTGATATGCCTGTTAGGGCATATCAGCTGGCATCCACCTTATGAGTTTGTTTTGCTCAGTTACAGTGATCTGCTGGGCACATAATCTAGATCACTGTAACCGAACAAAATGAACTCGCAAAGTGGACCCTGCCTGATATGTCTTAACCTCATCACGAAGGTCAAAAAGAAGAATCACATGGGAAAAGCAAACCCCACAGGACTCTGGGTCGTATGCATCACTGAACCAACAGGCAGCATGGTGGAGGCAAATGAGCAATTGTTGTCTTATGGCATGGACAATGAGCAACCCTCAAACTCGCATAAAGCAAGAGCAGGTTTGGGGGATATATCCATAGGACCACTGAACTCACAGGGCATTTCCAAGGCCTGAAGAGTAAAAAAAAAAAAGGACACCCAGACACTGGGTACACTGGAAGGCGAACCACAGTGCACCCCCATCAGCCAAAGCTGCGCCTGACCCAGGTTAAGGCAGAGAAGTCACAAGACCCCTGACTCAACCTGCATGAGGACCACCACAGGCAGGAGGACCTCAAAGGAAGCGACTCCCAAACACTCAAGAGAAGAGTGTTTGGGAGTTTGGGTTTGGGAGCACTACCCTCTGGCAATGCAAGGGTAGTGCTAGGGAGCACACAGGAAAGGTAACCTTGAGCACATCCAGCTCCAAGCATTCAAAAAACCAGGCTTATGCTACATCACAGTGTAAAGGAAGAGCCACCAAAGCAAACACCCAAAATCACTTAACAGAACAGAGGAGTGTTACCACTCCAAGTGGTAACACGCTTTCACTTTCTCTGTTTGCTGTGGGTGGTACGCCGGGCTTTTGGACTTTATATGCATTTAATCCTGTAGAGAATTCTATTGCAAACATATTGATATCAAATAGAAAAACCTAGGATGAGAATTGAGATGACAAATTTGAAAAGAGTATACACTTTTCAGTATTACTGCACTCTCTAATGGAATGCCAGGCACACCTTGGGGTGGCGCAGCACTCTCTTGCTGGGTAACCCCGGCCTGCTTTCATCTTGTCGGCGGGTGGAGCGCGTCACGTTTTTTTTTACATTATATGCATATACTCCTGTAGGGAATTCTGTCGCAAACACATTGATGCCAAAATGAAAGACCTAGGATAAGAATTGAGGTAACCAAAGTGAAAAGAGTGTACACATTTTATTGCTCTTGCACGCTCCCGGGTAACACGCTCTCACTTTCTCTGTTTGTTGCGGATAGTACGCTGGGCTTTTGGACTTTTTATGCCTTTAGTCCTGTAGAGAATTCTATTGTGAACACATAGATACCAAATTGAAAAACCTAGGATGAGAATTGAGATGACGGAAGTTGAAAAGAGTATACACTTTTCAGTATTACTGCACGCTCCCATGGAATGCCAGGCCCCTCTTGGGGTAGCGTTGCGCTCGCTCGCCCAGACCTCCAAAGTGGTAACATAAGAGTGGATCATGTACCCGAGGGAGTGTCAGAATGAGCAAGTTTGGAAATGCTTGTCAACCCAAACCAACTGTTAGGAAAATTAGAAAAAATTAATCTGTGCACTAAAATTCAAAGCATTTGCTAGATTTATGTTATGTTATGTTTTCAATGATGGAAAATTAATGATCCAAACAAAAGCTAAAAAAAACAGGTTTGTTTATCTAGTCACATAATAAACTATAACCAAATTTTAAGTTAGATTACTTGAAACACGCCCGAATAATTGAAAACACTGCGTAATGTCACTGTAAATATCAATAAATCAGGATACAGTACAAAAGTAACATAAAACTATTTTGTACAAATGCAGAAATTTGAGCCAAAATAGATCATAAGGATTGCACACAGCTGCTGAAATTAATATAATAATTTCTTAACATATATATTAATATAACTTAGACTTCCATATAAGACTCAGTAATACCTCTTCATCAGAATCAAGATCAGGCCAGTCTAGTAATGCAGCCAAATTTGTGTGGCGACCGCGTGAATCTTTCACCCATGGCTGAGAAGGGTCTAGCGCTCGGCCCATGGCTTCAACATTCTCCATCTATTCAGACGGAAGGAAGAGATAAACTGTTTAAGATTCTTAATTATTATTTTGTATAAATAATAGGAAAGATGGAGTACAATAAACCTATTTCCAAAACAAAACGTGCTACATTAAATAATATACAGTACAAGTTTGTAATACAACCACATGTGAGAAGCTCCTTAAAATAAAAATAGGATATTGTTTAACTGTTGAAAGAGATATACTGTATATAGTCCATTTCCCCCAAAATACAACTGTCCACAGATGAGTAGTTTCGTGAAAGTAGAGAGTATGAGGGACTTACCAAATGCATAAGTTAGGTAAGGATGAGTTGGGTAGAATTACTGTAGTGTCAGTATTTTTGGGTAATCATCCAGGCATCAGAACATCCTGGAATTTACCTTTCAGTGTGTTCCAAAGTATGCAAAATCAAAAGTTGACAAGGAAGAAAATAAAGAAAGAGGAAATTGTGAATTTGACATGAAGTTGCACTAAGAATATAAAAAGAATGAGAACTATTGTATGATACAGCTAAAGAGGTGAGGAAGGGACAGCATGGAAAAGATAAGGGACTGGTAAGAAAAGGAAGGGGCAGTGTTTACCCTGTAGAAACAATTGTTTGCCTGGCCATACTTTGATGTGTTATACTTCAAAATCGAGTGATTGGTTGATACAATAGCCCACTCACGGGCTATTCATGCCCGTGCCACCTCTTGGGTGGCTTAATCTAACTTGCAACTGAGGATATTGAAAAATCTTTAAAGAAAATCCAGGTTACTTTTCTTAGTTAGCCAGAAAAGGGCATCTCACAAAGTTGAGACACTGTCTAATGTGAATATTACATACTGTACAAATAATATGATGTATGAGTAAAAAAGGAGAGGAGGGATGTAGCAAACTGTGATTAGTAAGACACCATACATTATTTAGTTGATGAAAGTAGAGGAAAAACAATGAACTATAATGATGTCTACCAAAGAAGAGGAAGTCAAGAACTTACATTAAACAAATGCATGGCTTCCAATGTGGCATTTTTTTAAATTTCTTACTAACAATACTGGATTTAGAACAGTTAGTGTTAGATCACATAGTTGATCCTAGAATAGTACAATGCAGGTACATGGAGCAAACATTAAACAAGATTTTTCTTTAAAAGGATTTTTACAGTTTAATATACGTTTGTCAGTAAAAACTTGCATCTTCTTAAAACAACGTCAAATGCTGGTTCTTACATGCGTGTTCAGACTGCTGCTTCTGATCCTTGGGGGTAAAAAAAAGTCATGCTTACTTGTTCATATTCAGAAGGCAGTGCAGAGGAAGTGTTGCTAGCAGCAGACAAAATGTTAGGAGTCAAGACCAAGGTACACCATCAGCACAACATCGAATTCACCCTCCCCATCATCATTATCATCAGCATCAACTTCCTAAAAATTTAGGTCAGGGAGGAATAGGGGCAAAAATGATAAGCAACAGCAACAAAATTATAATTAAAAGTAAGGGTATCAACATATGAGCATTCCTACTGAACATAAGAAAATAAAGTTTAACTCTGGATTATCTGCTTTCCTTTATTGTACATACAAATGTATTTAAATAAAAAAGTTACAATTCAGTTTACTCAATTAGTTAAAAGTTCTTTATAAGATTTGTGTTATAAAACCAGCATTGAATGCAATGAAATGCCTCTTTCTGGTGGGTCTTTGGTGGCTCCATCGCTAATCACCTGGACAGCTCCTCACACATTATGTCACACTACGACCTTATGAATCATTAAAGTCTACTGAAAACCAGAGGCCAACACCTAGTTCCATCACAGAGGCACAAGAAGCAGGGAATGCTAGATCACCATTACCAAGAACTCAGCCACCAGAAAGATAAAGTGAAACTAAATAGATAGGCTCCCTCAGTGGATCCCTGTTTTTCCTCTCAGCATAGAGAATAAAAACAAATGGTATACACATTAAGAGCAGAGGAGAGCATGAAATTAGGAACTCTCAAAAAAAGAGCAGTGCTGGAGAACAGAAAAAGTGGACAAAGCAGAACACCAGCCCGAGGGCAGCTTTCTGGCCAACTGAACAGAAGAACCCAGTAGAAGACCTAAGACAACAAAACCCCAGAACAAGAGACTAACGACACTGGAACAAGAAAACATGATAATCCCTAGAATCAATGGTAGCCAGTTGACTCAACAGAGCCAAGAAAATAGAATGCCAACCACGAAAAAGAAAAATGCTCACAAGGGGCAAAGGAACAAAAACAAACCCCACAAAAGTCCACAGACTGAAGAAAAACAAGAGACAAGTAAACAACACCAAGAACCCCAATCAGCCACTGTAACAAAATCCCCCCACCAGAAAACTCGTGCAATGGACCCAAAAGAATTTGAACCCTGGTTGAGCCATCAGATGTACCACCTGGCAGCAAATGGTCCTAGCCCAGAAGATCCAGGAGAAGCAGCCGAATCAGAGGGTAGACACAAGAAACCCACAAGTCCAGGCCAGACAAGAGGCAAGCATCCCCGAACACCACAAGGCCAGGGACTGGAGCTATGGAAGGTGGAAGCCACCAGGACCAAGCCGATGCACACAAGTCCACCAGAAAACATCCAAACATAACACAAAACAGACCGAAAGGAGTGACAACTGCCCACCCTGGAACAATGGGATGGAATCAAGAGACTACTTATACAAATTCAGGACATGCCCTGCAAGGCATAAAAAGTCAGCATTGAATGTAATGAAATACCAATTTCTGGGTGAGCCCAAGTGGTTTCCAGAAGCTACCACACTCATACAATGCCAAACTACAGTACTAGGTGCCATCAGTTGCCGAGTTCTTAATAGCCTACCAGGGACCACGAGCCAGAACTTGCCGCCCCCCCCCCCACCTCACATAGGCACAGGGAGCGGTGGGACTATGAAAACCTTTTTCTGTAAATTTATTCATGTCTGCCACCACCAGGGGAAGGCACCCAGAAAGTCAGCAAAACAAAACTGGCTACTGCTTGGTTAGAAATGAGACCATAGCCTCAAAACCGCCAAAAAAGAACTCCCACTCCCCCCCCCCCCAACAATGTAAACAAACGATAAAAAATTTGTGAAATTAGAGCAAGCTAGTTTGGCCCTTCTCCAACCCCCCCCCTCATTTGGGGGAAGGGGGAGGCAGACCGGGTCAGCCAGCTGCTTCACCACCAATTATTATGATGATGGAACCTTCCCGACACCCTGGGAAAGAGAGGGTGTTAAGGAGCTATCGGGTCTGCCCAGAAATAGGCATTTTATTATATCTAACACTGGTTTTCTGTGGGTGGGGGGTGGGGGGAGTCATTTGTGGATCCCTGAAGCAATGTACACATGGAGAAGGAAGAAAGGGCACACACCAGGGAGGAGGAAGCACTGCAGGTATCAAGATGAAGATAGACCAATGGCTGCAAAACATGACCCAAGGCCTCACAAAGCCGCAGAAGACTGGGAACATCCACAAGATACCCCTGGATGCCTGGCCTGGACCCCTGTTCGACCACTAAAACCCCTGTGCCTGAAGAGAGGCACAAGACATACCAGCAAAAAGCACTGAAAGATCAGCCAATGGAAGCACATCAAAGGCACAACAGTAGACCACAGGCTGACTAGACCTTAAGACAATGCAGATGACCTGAGAAACATGAGCCCTGGAACAGGGAACAAGGGAAACCAGAGCAAACCACAAAGAGACCACTCAAAAACAGAGCCAGAAGCACAAAGGCAGCGGCATAAAGTTGCCACCTGCCACAGCACACAATATACCCCCAGTAGAAACAACCAAGCGTCCACCAAAGGGCCCCACCTGAAGCCCACCGACTCATTTCCAGCCAGAAAAAAAGGAGCCGGCAGCACCCTAACAAGGTGCCCACAACTGCCAAAAAAACAAACGTCCTGGCACTGACGGTTATCAATGAGCATCTTTACTTGGCAACCAGAAGCCAGAGAAAGCAAAAAAGAGCACATGCTGAAACAAGCTACTACTGATGGAGTCACTGGAAATAGAGTGGACAAAAGAAAAGAAAGAACCTGGTCAAGGGACCAGGCAAGCTCAGACAGAGCAGGTGAAACAATATACAAGAAAGTATGCAAAACGGGGCCGAAGAGGAAACCACCCTGAATACGAGCTGAAGCAGCTCTGCCAACAAAGCAAGAAGAGAAAAGACAACAGTATACAGCAGAAGATGCTGAACAAGGAAAAGCCAAGAACAAAACCAAAAATACAAAAGTTATGACAAAGGGATAAGATCGAAGATGGTACGCAAAGCCATGACAAACTGTTGCTGGGAGGACTGCTAACAGGACACTATTAACTAGCCACCTTATCACTATCAAGATAGTGATATGCATGAGGCAAAATCTCAAGACATGATGAGTGGCGGAGGTTGAACCAGTGAAGTACGTCACTCGCCCAACCCTCTGAAAGAGGCAGAGCCACAGAAAAATGCCCAGGTTCAGACACCGAGCAAGCAGCGCCTGAAACCAATGCTAGGCCAGCCACCAAGGAGCCAGAAGGAACACCCTCCAACCTGTAGGACTCCAACCATGCCAGAACCCAGAGCAACAGTCAGACCGGGAAAATGAGGTAAGGGAACTCCTATCTCTACCAGTTTAGCTAAAATGCATCCACCGCTAGAGCCTCGCAGTCAGGAAAAGGCACCGCTCAAAGTGGCAGATGCCAAGACCATACTGATGCGCAGAGGTCGACATCTAGACACTCAAATGTCTGGCAAAGGCAGAGGAAGGAAGCAGCGTAGATTCCATGGAGATGGGAAGGAACAGGAACAGACTATTATCCAGGGCATTGGACACTCCCAGAACATGAACAATACCGATAGCCAAACCCGGTGAACTGAGCAAATGAATTACTTGAAGCGACCAGCTCCAAAGACACTAGACCAAAGAGACTATCTGCCAGTTAAGACAATGAACCACAGGGAAGCAGTCCGATCAGGGAGCCTGATCACAGAGCCCGGATAAATCTACACTCTCCGC